TGTACATCAAAGATCTACTATGGGAAAAAAATGAGACAATACAAAAAAAATGTCAGTAAAAAATATTTGCAACAAAAGTATCTCACAAATAAATTTTAAAAATGAAAACAATAGTAGGAAAAATTAAAAATGAAATGAAAAAGCACTTTACAAAGGATGAAATCAACCAGTCTATAAGCATATGGAAAATTGTGCAAAGCACTAGTAATCAAAGAAATGCACATTAAAACAATAATGAGATATGTTTCATCCATCAAGTCATCAAAAGTGTTTTAAGGCTAAAATTCTAGGGATTGTCAAGTGTTCAGGAAAATGGTCATTCTGAGAAGCACAAATTAATATACTCTTCTGGAAGTCAGTTGAAAATACCTAAAATTGTTCTTGCCCCTTTTCTCAAGGATCTCACTCTGGAAGTCTTCCTTGTATAGTAAGCATAAGTAGCAATTTAATAATATATATCTGAGAATCATGGAGCAGATTGGCTCAGTCAAATCCATTTCTACTCCCTTATAAAATATTTCTGCCAGTAAATATAGATCTGCATAATCAATTCTGATGACTTCACAATATTGCATTGTGAGGTTGTAAGAAAACTTATGCAGCCATTTCCATGCTGATGGATATTGAGGACATTTCTTATTTAAACAAGATTTCTTAGTTAAAAAGTGCTTCAGAGAATGTCCTACTCAATACATCTTTGTACACATCTCAAATTGCTTAATATCAGTTCCCAGATGTAAGAATGATTGAGTCATATGTGCCCATTTAAAATATAAATACGTAGATTTAAAAACTTGTAGCAATCTATTCCTATCAGTAACACACTGTTGCCATTTTCACACCCTCTTGTATCAGAACATGTTAATGATCTCTTTAAACATTCTCTTATAGATTTTTTTAAATGTATGTCATTGCTTTATTCGTAATCCTTATTTTACATGCGTAACATGAATTTGCCTAATTTTCTATTCCCAGTTTTTTCTAATTTTTATTCTTTCTGTTTTTTTAAAAAAAGGTTATAATAAAATATTAACTTTGCATATTATAATGTGCTGCAAATAGTTCTACAGATATAGTTATTTTTTATCTTCTTTACATTAACATTTGAGTACAAAGTTTTTAAACCTTTACATGCCACACCTTTAAACATTTCCTTTATGATTTCTATACTTGGTGTCTGTTTCAGGAAGTCCTTCCCGCTCAGCTCAACCAGGTAGGTCTCACTGGCCTCCTGCAGGGCTCCCATAGCTGCACCCTGGAAGTTTGGTGAATCACAAGTTCAGTCAACTTCTGATAACGCCTGATTTCGCCAAGTGCCAAAGTATCAGGCCTGTAACAGTGCGGTCTGTTTGCTCATCCAGATGAGGGTGCACTCTTTCCAGTGGCTTTGGTAGCCAGTTGCTTCTCAGACCGGTAGATTTGGCAGCAGTCTGCTCTGAAGGAGCCATGATATAGCAACCTCTTTACTTACCCCCTCAACCCCTTCCCCTACTCCAACACACACACTTCTTTTCATAGTGTGAATGAGGTGAGTGATGTCAGACATAATACCTCAAACTACATAACTGGGATACTGTGAAAATTAAAGATTTAACCTTTGTAAGGTGAAATCCTTTGTAAGGTGTTTACCGTGATTTCTGATGCATTGTAAGACTTCAAGAAAGTATTGCTAGTTTTTTGTCATTATAAACTTCCACTGGTCTTAGACCAGATGCACCTGTGAAGCTAAGTCTGTCCTTTTGTCTTTCACTGAAATGGGCTAGTTCTCAAAAGAAAAGCATATAATTAATTTACCTCCCAGAAATGTGGTGACAATTTACTAATTCATACTATAAAGTGCTTTGGGAACATCAAGTGAGATGAAAATGCTAAGTATTGTGTGACAGCTTTCCTTTGAATAGCATCTTCTATACACAGTCATGTTACCTGACTTAATTAAATAATTCAAAGGTGAATAATAAAGAGCAAAGGAAGAGGTAAGTGAAGAGGTATAATCCAGGGAGCAGGGAATGTTTTCAGATGAGATTTAAAAATAGGGTGAGTCAATGAGGCAGAGAGACTTTGAAAAGCTGTTTTACTTGAGAGAAGATAGAGACAGGTCTCTTCTTAGACAATCTGCTCCATTTCCTGGGACTTCATTAGGACATTAAATGCATCAGCATATCAAGTAACAGTGAATGTTAATAGGGATCATTGCTGAGACCCGGAAGGGCACTTAGTTACCATTTGGGAGAGTATATGAAGTCATTACCCAGAACTGTCGAAGTCAGATACAAGTTGGAAATGTAATAAATTGGGTCTGGCTAACAGTGAAGATCTGTGAGTCTCTTCCAGACGTTAGCGTTGCTCCCGGGAAGCCCTTGCTCAACCAGGAGCCCCATTTCCAGGCCACCTGGCATCTAAGGGAAGCTGTGTGGCCATTCTGGCTGCTGGAGGGTTATCAGAAGTGATGTGTGTCCCTTCCAGACTGAGGTGGAGAATTGGTGGTTGTGCTCTTGCCATAATCGTTTCCCTTCTCCTGGCACCTTTGATATCCCCAAGTGGAAGTTAATAGCATCCAAACACAGAAGGAGCCTGCATCCCCGAGTCCCTCCTTGAAGGGAAGCATCCAGGAGAGTTTCCCACATCAAACACCCACCTGGGGCCAAGCCTGGGTGAGAAATAAAACTGTGTTTGTTAAACCACTGTACTTCAAAGTTGTTTGTTACCATTCCTAGACACTTTTTATCGTTCCTAATAATATATTCTTACTTTTAAAGTTTAATTTTTGACCAAAACACATACTCATTAGAATAAGCCGTTGTCACAGGCTATGCAAAGGATAGAGTGAAAGGGGCAGGGAAGAAACAAAAGCCCTTGCTGGAAGAATGCAGATGCGATGTGGGAAGTGAGAGAGATCACAGCAAATAGGTCAGTATGTCCGAAACGAAGAGCTGGGCAATGGTCCACTCTTAAATCCAGCACAGAGGTCAACTAGACAAGGAACATTCCTTCAAAGTGGTTGGATTTCAGAAGCCAAATGTCATAAAAGCCTTTCATGAAAGCAGTTTTCCTGGAGTGTTGGTTGAGTTAGTCAGACTAGGGTGGGTGGGGACGAGTAAAACCGAGAAGAGAAAATAAATTTAAAATGATGCTTCTTCCAGAAACTTGCCATCAAAGGGAAGGAAAAAGTACAAAGGTAGCTAGATGAAGCTGCAGGAATGAGGGAAAGGCTTGTTTTGTTGTAGGATCGGAGTGACTGGTGGATATTCGGGGAAATGCTGCAGCCGAAAGGGATGATGGGAGAGGCCGGGCAGCTCCTGAGAAAACGGGAGAGTGTGGTATAGCATCCACGTGGAGAGACCTGCTCTGGGTGGCAGGAAAATCACCTCTTTCTCTAACAAACCAGGGGCAAGCACAGGTGCAGACTGGAGGAGGGATGGCTGCCTGGGCTCACTGTGGGGATTGTAAAGAATGTAAGGGATATGGACAATTATGTTTCAGTCAATCATAAAAAAGAAATGGGAATTAGGTTAAGACAATGTACAATGAAATAGGAATGAAAGTATATAGGAAAAAGGAAAGAGGAAGACTGGCCCTTGCTGTTTTGGCTCAATGGGTAGAACATCAGCCTGTGGATCCAGGTTCAATTATCATCAAGGGCACACACCTTGGCTTCAGGCTCCTCCCCCTCCTAGGCCCCGGTTGGGGCTTGTGCAAGAGGCAACCAATCAGTGTGCTTCTCTCACATCGATGTTTTTCTTCTCTTTCCCTCATCCTTCTACTCTTCCTAAAAATCCATGGAAAAACATTAAAAAAAATTTAAAAAAGCAGAAGACTGCAAGGATACAGAGATAGAAATAGATTCACATAAAAAAAATACAGATGTGAAATATAGTAAAAACAATGCATAGAAGGAAAAGACAGTCTTTTTATAGATACTGCACTATAGTTGATAGTTACCCTGCAAATATTCTGAGTTAAATGAGGAAGAAGTAAACTAATTATTATCAAGAGTATACCAAGTAATGGACAGACTAATTTGACAAATATTTTCTCATTCATTCCACATCACAACAGCAGTGGTATTATTTTCATTTTTTTCTAATGAGTTAGATGGAATTCAGGTCACAGCTATTGAGTAACAGAGCTACCATTCAAACTCATGTCCTGAGACTTAAAAATTCACCATCCCTTTACACTTCCAACTGCTATTGCTTTAGGCAATGGAAGGGCATTCACTTTAGAGACAAATAAACCGGAATTGAAATATATTTTTACCACATCTCAGTTGCTTTATTTTCAACTTTTTGATAACAAGGTTTATGACTTTTTCGCCTTTGTATTACTTACGCCTAACATGGTACTTAAGTATATGAAAAGTGGTCAATAAGTGCCCTGGCCAGGTGGCTCAGTTGGTTGGAGCATTGTCCCAAAGACCAGAAAAGATGCAGGTTTAATTCCCAGTCAGGGCACATACTTAGGTTGTACTGTAGGTTTGATCCCTCATTATGACACATATGAGAGGCAACTGGTTAATGTTTCTCTCTCCTTTCTTCTCTCTAAAGTCAATAAAAATATATTCCCACGTGAGGATTTTTTTAAAAAAATGTGTCCAATAAGTGATTGTAGTACTACATTTCATTTCCTTATGTCTATTTTCATATTCACAGCAGGATAAAATAAAAATATTACTAAGGAAGACAAATGAAAGTGAAAAAATGTTTTTTAAAAAACTCGTAATGAGATAACCAAGAAACAACTAAGATGTAAAAGTAATCTATGGTGTAGATTGCATAAAATAGTATATGTAATTGCCAGGGTTATTTGAATGATTTGCACATGTTGATGACAGCGGACCTATGTCAATAGACAAGAATAGCACATTCCTGCTCTATGCTAGATCCTAATATTTTTAAGTGGGTATATTCAAAAAGTCTAAACAGAGTATTGTTGTCAATTAAGTATTATCAAATATTCCAAAAGTGCTTTCTGTGTTCCAAACCTACATTGAATTTTAAAATTACACTTCTATGTTCACACAACAAATAATTTTTATTTTTGCTTAAGTGGCTTTTAACCCTTTTTCAAATTCCATTTGAAGAAGCCCAAAGAGCCCTCCTTTTAAAGACCAGATTTTAATTTACACAATTTTAACAACATGGAGTTAAGAGTTTGGAAGCAAAATAATGCATATTCTAACAAAAGTTCACAGTTTTAGGTATCAAAGGAAATCATAATATGCATAACGCACAATAAGCAACATTTGCAAACTATATGTATGGAGCGTGGGTACATCTGGCATAATATTTCATTTGAATATTATATTTGTGTTATGCACTCAGCATGTCAAATAGCACCACTTATTCCAGTCCCCTAAATTAACAACATATTTAAATGCTTCACTTCAAGTCTATAACCAACCAAGCCCCAAACCAAAAATCATACGAAAAGGGAATGGTCTGAGCTAACATTAAAACATCAGATTTTATTTTTATTTTAAAAAATTAATTTTATAAGTGATACATGATTTTTCAGTGAAATGCAAGCCAAAACACAAGGAAATAATGATTTTAGACCCAACAGGCCAGAAGTTTTTCTTACTAACCATAAGTGAACATAAGCCTAGACATCTCCAAGCATAAAATCATATAATTAATAAATATGTAGAGAGAGGTATAAGTGACTATAAAATAGTGATTGTTTTTATTCATGTTTTAAAATTACTTAATGATATTTTCACTTAACAAAACGAAATGTAAAACATTCTAATTTTGGATAAAATTTTAAACCAAATTGATAAAAGTGTTAATATTTCTTCTAGATTTTTTTACACTCCGGTATTTTGGCTAGATATGGAGGTTTGAGTGCAGGTGAAATACCCTGGGATGGGGTTGGGGGGTTCTTGACACACACAATCCAGTAGTCACTCACTCATTCAGAGGTTCTAACAGACCCTTGGGAGGAGTAAATATGATAAGTAATGCTTCTCAAGCCCCTCAAGTTGATAGCACTCATTTTATAGGTAGTAAAATACTATATTCTTCTTAAGGTTCATCATAGAAATGCAGGAAAATGCTAGGGTTAGCCAGCCATGCCTTTGTTTTCTTATTTCCCAGGAACGTTATGCTTGAATGGGTTTCTGAAGAGGACCGTCTTTCTATTTGACCTGCTGTTCTGGAAGGTGAAGGGGCAAGTAATGGAGTAGCATGCCTTCCTGTATGTAGCTCACAGACCATGGCTGCAGCACTTTCTTTCTCTTTGAGACATAAAATAAACTGTGTAATTACTCGCATCCACACATTAAGGTCACAATGAAAATAAGATGAAATCTGAATATGAGGAACATAAAATATCAAATATGTGTTTACAAATGTATTAAAAAAACAAAGAATCAGTGAAGGAGAGGAAGCTATGAAGATGTTCACTAGCCACCCTAAAAAATATTCAATAATTACAAGGATGTGAAGTGTTGAAATTGTGTTATGCACTTGAGTAAATGGTAAATCCATAAAATCCATTTTTATATTATAAAATATTTTAGGAAGTATCTGTTTGTCTATCTAATGGCCCATTGGGTAGTAAGTACCTTTGTAATCGCCAAATAAATTTACAAGCCCAGAAGAATATCATTACTTTCCATCTCTTTTCTAAAATAAACTCTCTACATGCCATTATAAGGGCAAAGGAGTGTGTATAGACTTAAGAAGAATGGAAGGTTGTGAAGGGAGGGAGTGTCCTTCCTTGAAATAAATAAGAAGGTAAAATTTGCTACTTTCAGTCACTAGTAAAAATTTTCTTTTATATTTTATGATATCTGGAAGGATGGTTGCTGCTGCTGAAATTATATTAAATTAATTAGATAACTGCTCTATGTATTGGATACCTGAACCATGTCTACAAATTCATTTACGTACCACTAGGTGGCAGTAGTGCTATCTAGGGCAGCATGACTAACACCTCTTTATAGCTTCTGGAGCTTCCCAACTATTGCACGTCTCATCTAGAAGATTTTTGTTGTTGTGAAAATACAACTGAGTTAACAAATAAGAATTCATTAGATATCTGTTTCCAAAAGAAATATTAGAATCCAGATTTAAAGAAAGGTGGCCTCGAGCATTGTTGAATATTACTGTATGGTTCTGCATCCCATTGAGTTGTACTGCACAAACTGAATCAAGTTAGATAGATGCTGGGATGTTTAAACAAGTTTTGTCACTACTTACCTTAATTTAGGATACACAATTACTCTGACATGCTTCATAGAGGCACCAGCTTTCCTCATTCTGCTCCTTCAAGTGAGTTTTAAACTGGCTGCTTACTCTTATCAAGATGAGAATTACATTTTATCCTGCTAATGAGCTTTGAAGCATAGTTTCTCCTTGCAGGACTATTATTCCTCAAAAATAGACTAAAGAAATTATTGCTGGATCCCTCTGCTTTTTCTTTTACCGCTCACAAGCCCAGGCATGGTTCAAAACTGCCAACCCTGTAAAGAGTCACACTCAGTGAGAATCAGTACTTTCTTACTTATATCGTCATCTGTAAACCTCTCTCATATATTCCTCTTTTGAAGCTTCTTTTGACAGGGGAGGACTTTCCCCCGACACGTTCTCTTAAGGTATCTTATTAAGTTGGCAGTGTTCAGGATCTCCTCAGATCTCTCCCCAAAAAAGCTTTGCTGTTTTGTCTTTCATTGTCCTTCAATATGTTTTAGAGTTGACAGATGAAATTTATATTAAAGCTTCTATAGACAACAATCATGTCTTCCTTCATACCTTAATCAATATCAGGATCTAAAACAAAAACAAAAACAAAACAAGGAAACAGATTCCCTCTTAACTGTAGTCTGAGATCGTTTTCAACATGCCATTTTAGTGACATAATATATTTTTTAAATTTTTTAAAAGTCCACGCATTTAAAAGAAAACCAGCTGTAACATTTTCATTAGTAATTAGAAAATATGGGAACTTGATGGTACAAAAACAAACAAACAAACAAAAACAAAAAACAGTGAAGTGCTGCTCTGACCAAACTCATAGCAAATTACTTTCTTTTTTTAAATGGTAGCATGTATCAACACAAATGGCATTTCTGGGTCGTGGCACATCAAACTACCCACAAAAGAAGGATGACTTAATTGCTTTGACCATAAGTCAAGAAGAGCTCAGTTGACAAATATAAAAATATATTGGTGCTATTTGCATTTGCATGTGAATAACCAGTGATTTCATTTTAATGCCCAAGTCTGGGTAACAAAGAAACCCACAGGTAGTGAAACACAGCTGGCAAAGCAATGGATACAATCCCTGACCAGGGTGTCTAAGGGTGCAAAGGACGCATTGATCTTGTCAGCTACATCCGAGGGCAGAGGAAATACCATTGTCGGCTCAGCTCCTTCAAATTCAGATCACAATATTTGAGAGTTTATGTCTTTACAGGTTAAGCAGTTAAGCATTTACAGAGATTTGCTGCCTGTACCATCGCCGTTAAATGACTTCCTAAAAATCTTTTAATAATTAATTATTATTCTAAATATCTAATGTTACTGTTAATAGCTTAACTTGCTTCTCATAATATCACCTAGCAATGTATTTCCAATAAATAGTCAAAGCAGAGTGCGGCTTGCTATATTTTAGAGTTTACTATGTAGCAGCCCAAATAAAGTACAAATATATAGAAGAGAAAAAAAATATGACACAAAGAATAGGACATGTCTGTAGCCCTTGTATTAAATGCGATTCCAAAGCAAGTATTAATCAAATGTAGACTATAGACTCTCCATTCCTTCTAACTCATTATCTTGAAGATGATGTTATTTTCATATTCTCTAAACTTTGTCATCTAAACAGCAAACTTAATTCAGGAAAAAATAAAAACCTGTCATTGCTGATTACCATAGCCTGGATCACAGACATTTAAATCAAAAGTCACTTGAGTTGGAAAAGGTTTAAGTTTTTTCAATAAATTATTTTTTATAATGACTATAAAAGTTATATAGTACACAGAGGCTAGCCGGAGCTAGATACTTTACTGTACCTGAATGGCGGGGAATACTTTCTGAGACATAAAGCTGACAAGCAGACATCCAAGTGTGACCGGGAAATAGCAGCCCCTGAAAGATTAAAGTGTGAATTTAGTAACCTCAGAGGCAAATGCCATTGTCCTTTCACTCCCTGGCCAGGAGACAGAATGGGCAAATGACAACACAAACACATGTAAGGAGATCAGAAAGATGAAAATCATACTCCAAAATCACTTGTCAAAGCTGAAAGTGAGAATTTTTGCCCCACAAAAAATCTTTATTTCTTCTGCTATTTAAAAAGTAGTTCTATGAGCATAGTAAAACATCAGCATGAAATGGCCTGATTTACAAAGTTAAACTGAAAATTATTCATTATTGAAACTCAATAAAGTCACTAACATTGCAATATAATCATCAAGTATTTTAAATGACCTGAGTTTTCTTAAAAAATAGAATTATTAGTGAAAAAGCTCAAATATCTGTGATTAAGCAAAAATATATATTATTCATGAATATCATCATATTTTTAAATGCATTCTTGATCCAAACAACATGAAAGAATTTGGTTTGAGGTCATAAAATTTGAGGAGCAAATAATGGAGTGCAAAAGAGCCTGGAGGAAATATTAACACTTTTATTCATGCAATCTTTTATTCTTGACTGTTTTAATTGTAAAAAAAAAAAATGCTATACACATAATAAACAGTAAATATCTTTCTGTCACCCATAAATCTCTTCACTTTTTATAAAAATATTTAAAGTAACTTATGAGTAACCCTATTCTTGAACCTCCTATCCCAATTAAGTGTTCAGTAAACTTCTTTTAGACTTTTTCCTGCGTGGACTTATCCACATAACTTTCTGTTTAATAACAAATATGACTGTGGCATATTCTAAGTTGCTTTTGAACTTAATTATGTTTTAGAAGTGTCTATCCATATATATATATATATATATATATATATATATATATATAATTTAATTTTATAGCACCATTCTACTTTATGGAATGAAAACACAATAATTTATTTAATTGTTTACTGAACAACATTTAGATTGTTTTGTAGTTCTGCCATTTCATAAAATCCTTATAAATATATCTATTAATTATGTCATTATTTCCATAGGTAGATTCTTAGGTGTCAGAATCCAAGCCACCTTCCCAATAAGATTGTACCAATAACTCTGCATATTGTTAACTTTTTGAAATGTGGACTATTTTAAAAATTTGTTTTAATTTCTATTTTCTTTATAATTTGTCCAACACCATTTATGCCTTCTTCCACCTCCACTCTCTGAATATCTTTGTATGTCATATTTTTTACCATTTATAATTCTTTTGTTAATTGCCAGATTAAATTATTTTTCTATTGGATATCTTCTTGTTGTTTTGCAGAAGCTCTTTGCATAGTTGATGTATTTATTTTCTTCTCCTAATCTATAACTAGTCTTTTCACATTGTTTATGGTCTCTTCCTTTGCAGAACAGGAATTTTAATTTTTATGTAGTTAAATATGACAACCTTATCTTGTGTGAGTCCTTTGATTTTTGCCCTGTTTAGGAAAACCTGTCCACCTCAGTCTCTAACATACCTTCACTATAAACATAGTAATGCTATCATCGTATGACTTTAAATGTATTTCTAAATCTACATAGAATTTATTTAACTCTGATTCTAATTAAACAATAAAATATAAGTAGAAATACTCTTCAAATACTTACAGAATAATGAAACTTGTGCGCAATAAATAGCTGAGGTTTAAAAAGAACAAAAAAGTTTTGACAAATCTGATTATCTTTTCTGGTAAAAAGAAAATGCCATAATTAAATGAACTGGTCAGTGAAGACAAGATGTGTAATAAAGTTAGAACTTTGACATATGTTGGCTCTATAGACTTTCATTAAAAAAATTAATTTAAATTGGCTTTAAGGTGAAACTATCCATCAACTGAATTGACATAAATTGGACCATAAACAACAGAAATAGTAATAATGTTGACGTAACCAGCTATAGGAAGGAAGAAAACAATATCGCACAGAGATCACTGACAGGTCCAGATTCACAAAGCTTTTACATAAACAATCTAGAAGAAAAATAATATAATCATCAATTTAACAAATGTCACTGAGCTGAAAAGTGTTACTCCACATACTCAGAAGCATTATAATATAAGAATTTTCTGAAGGATGGAAACACAATGGGATATTCAAATCAGAATTGACATTGATCCAAATCACAGCCATTCTTCTATCCATATACAGTTAATTTAGTCAAATTCCACTTTGTAACTGGCTAGAGACAAATCCATTTAGTTTGAGATAGCAGGAGACTTTGCACTCCACAATTTGGCAATCCTGGCATTCAGGAGAAGGGAGAGGCAAAGAAGGGTATGGGTACTGGTGGCCTGGGAACATAAAAAGTTCCACAGTGACGGCCCCCACTCCCCGTGACATTCGAACATGGTCCAAGCAGCAAATTGCTGGCCCAATCTACCTGCACTTGAAAGTTATGACAGGAAAAGCAAATAAAGTACAAACCAACAATGCTCATTAAAAGTGACTATTCTGGTTTAGATGAAACAGTCACAGATGCATAAAAAAGTGTTAACATTAAATCCCCATACCATTTTAGTGTTGTTTGCAAAGTGCTCTCACACAGTCTCCTTTGATTAATACCCTGAGGCAGTAAGAGAAGCCATGATTAATAGATCCATTTTCCTCCTAGAGCTAAGTAGGATCAAGAAAATTGCCAAAGATTACACAGCTCCTCTGCTGAGAACCTGTGATTCCTACAACACCGGCTCATACCTTTAAAAGCAATTCGCAAAGGAGAGCAATCAGGTTTAGACATCTGTAAAAATAGTAATTCAAAACTTCATTTTAAAAGAAAAAGCAAATAAATACACTAAATGTATTCTTTATCCTCAAATCTGTGTACCTACGTTTCCTCAGCCTTCCTTCCATCCTTGTATAATATTTCCCTAGGACCCTGTTCTCAAAACAGTGGGAATATGGGAAGCAACTCCAGGGAATAAGAGTACAGAGTGGGGCAAAAATCAGTTTACACTCAAGAGTACATGGAACAGAGTTTATTCTCGTGGTATTCTTTATTAAGTATTGTATTATTTTCCACAAGAACAACTGTAAACTTACTCTTGCCTCATCTGTATTTAAGCAGGTGGATTACAAAACAATCTTCTGGGAAAATCTCAACTTCTTATTCAGGAGACAATAGGAGGGGTTCTTTTGTTTGTTTTTGTTTATTTGTTTTCAGAAACACCTAAAGCCTAAGGGGTTCCCAAATCATGTTTGGGATTATCTTTTAAAGTCCTCATGCCACTGTGGTGATAAGCATTTCCCACATGGGTATTACATTACAATAGACAGACAGCCTTGGGCCATGACAACTGTATGCAAATGATGGCCCTTTCGAGTAGTCTGAATAAAACACTTCATTAGAGGAATATTATTATTATGTTAAGGAACTCTTCTCATGATGCCTGTAGCTGTTGATTTCCTTTTTATAATACTTCCTTAACAACAAGTAAATATAGCACCAATGTGAACAACTCAGTCAGTATAGTTTTCAGCCAAATACAGTAATGAAATACAAGTTGAATGTTTCTCAAACATAAATTAAATATGACTATGTCCAACAATACTGCCTTGCTAGAATAGATCAAATGACCTCATCAAAATTGTTTGAGAAGGTGTCAAGCTTAACCATGTTAAATTTCAAAATTTAACTGTGAAAAACTCTCTAGCTAACCATCTGTTGATCTAATTCCTCCTAAATATAATCAAATTTCTTTCAAACAGAGACTCTTGCATTGACAGAATAAATGAGTCCAAATATTTGGTTTAATAGATCTTCACTTTAATCAAATAAAATTAATCTTTCAACTGAAGTGAAGTTTACATTTGTCTGTTTGATCTACAATGGTTTTGAAGGATTTCACAATATTTTGTACACTACAAAAACCATAGATACTTTTATTTCCATTTCAAACAGCTGGCCTGAGTATATAATCCTGGATGAAAAATGTCCTTAATTGGGATGTCATCTCTAAATTTTACTGGATTTCAGTCCTATTTATAAAAGGGAGCAAAGTTTGCAAAAATGCCCATATTACAGAAACATTTTAATTCCAAAAAGTGTTAGGTAGTCATGATTCTAATTTGTGCATTAAGTTTTTGGGAAATGATTTAGCTTCCGGTGGAATTTGAGGAAGACATGAGACTCAAAGACTATGAGATGAGAGATTGTTAATTACATGGAGGGCTGTTGATATAAATGGGGCAGACTATTTACTAATGTTGACTCGTAAAATTCTATGAGGAACTAGCAGAATTTATGTTTCAACACACCATCACTTCACATTAGTCTCCTTTCTACCATATGTGGTAAGCATCAGCCACAAAAAGTAAATAAAGAGAACTGCTTTTACTGAAAATACCCTTGAAAGAGAAATCTGTTGGTGATTAAAGTATCTGAATAGTGTAATTCACAGCACTTGGTTTTCACTAGCTAAATGAATTTCTGAGCACACCGAGGTATTTATAAAATTACGGTATCATTTGCATAAAATGACTGGTTCAAATTCTGTTTTAGAAATTGAACCTGTAGTTTAATTTCCTCTATCAAGTTGGGAATTTATGATAAATTAAGGAATCATGTTTATCATTAATCCCTAGGGTAATAACTATATTTGAATCTATAGAAACTATGTGTGTAAACAACTCCTATTTATAAATATTAGCTTCCATGATTGCGTCTGACAGCTTGTAATGAATTTTCAGCTCATGTTTTGTAATGGTAACTGATTTATCTCAAATAATTTTTGAGGAGTGAGATAGAGTATTTGTTTCCTATTCAGCATCTCAGTATTGTTGTCATCCGCCTCCACCTTCTCCTCATTGCCAGGAGGTGGTGCTGTGGGTTTTAAATCGCAGAGCTGAAAATCCCAGAGCTGATCAAAAGCCCTTTTCAGTTTGTTTCTCCCTTCATTCGTGGAAACCAGGCAAGCCCTAAAAATGTTCAACAATTTTTCCTCGGGAAAAAAAAATAGAATGTTTTCCAACATCCGATAAAGATAAGATTTGAAGGAGGAATCAGAAATAAGTGCATCAGTCCCTCGTGAGTGCAACTGAATGCAGAACATTCCAGTGAATTCTTCCAAACTCTTTTCTATAGCTTTCCTCCATCCCCACCCGCACATCCTGCATTGTCCTCCGGGGCCTCGGCAATGCAGGGCTGAGACAAGTTTTCCCACTTGCTTACAAGTCTTCATTACCTGAGAGGCCCCGCGGGCACCAGGGAAGCCCTTCGCCCGGGGGACGTGCCAGTGAGCTGGCGTGGGGCGCACCTTCGCGCTAAAAAGGCTGCTCCTTGGGGCGCTGAGAGTCTCTCTCCAATCTGTCCAACCTGAAGCTAACTTGTGGCCAAATATTCGTGAGGATCAGCCTCTTCTATTTAAAGTAGATAAAGAGAAAAGAAAACAATTTGGGGGGCGGGGGGAGGTACTTTTTATCAACAGGTTTTCACTTTTCCACAATCTAAGTCCTGGGAATTGCCAAGCACCTCAAAGCCACGGTAAAGCCGGGGCCTTCGGAGCCAGGGCAGCTCCGTCCCAGCTTCTGGGGCCCTGCACCCTCGCGGGTCCCCAAACACACGTGCACCCAGAGTGTCTCTCCGCAGGGAGCTCTGTAGGGCCTGGCGAAGTGGGGCGAGGGGGGGGGGGGGAAATACTGATGACAAAACGATCCCAAAAAGGCTCGGGCTGGAATGTCTCCGCCACCGAGATGACCCAGCCTTCCCCAACCCGGAGGGGAGGGGGCGCAGGACCATAAGCCTCAGCTGTGCGGGCTGCAAGCGGACTGGGCGCGAAGAGGGGGGGGGGAGGCATGTGCAAGTTCAAGGCCAGCAGGCCTCCTGAGGCTGAAGGGCGGTCTAGAGTGCCCTGGCCTGGAGGGTGGCGGGGCGCCCTGGGTCTAGGCGGCTGGGGGATGGGCAGTTCCGGAGGGAGACCCCCCGGGGCCTGGGGCCTCTGCGGTCCCCGCCGGACTCGGTCTTCCAGGCTGGGCTTCTCCGCTGGACATTGCCTCTAGGAAAGCAGTCCCACCGTTCTCAGAATTTGCTTTTCCAGAGCAGCTCCCAAGCGAAAGTTCATGTCATTTTGCTAAACTTTGCTTTTACTTTTTAGAATGTTCTCAAATGGATAGATTGAATCTCTCTCTCTCTCTCTCTCTCTCTCTCTCTCTCTCTCTCTCTCTCACACACACACACACACACACACACACACACACACACACACACACAGGGACCATCCTGCCTTTCAGAAAACACACAGACACCCAAATCCAAGTGTTCCCGGGTTCCCCCAGCTTTTTAATCCAGGTGAGCAGTAAACGGTTTATGGGGCTATAGAAACAACGAGGCGCCCAGGTTTCGCTCTTCCAAAGTAGATTAGTCCGCGTTCCGTTCTGATTTGATTTAGGCCCCTATTTCAAATTTCAAGCAAAAATGAATAAAGACGATCACTTAAAGACATTTAAGTAGGATCTAAAAAAACTAGTTTGGCCTGAAGCTCCACGCTCTGTAACTCCAGGGCGGTGCTGCTTGCTGAGCATCTTAGAATCCTCCCCAAGCCTTGGGTGTGTTCCCTCCCTTCCCGCTGGAGCCAATCCGGGTTCATCTTCCTACAACATGCTCTGGCCACTGTGAGTTTTGGTCTCCAACCATCGGCCCAGGATGCTCCCTGCGCCAGCGGATCTCGCTGTGCCAAGCAACCCAGACCAGCACCCAGAGCGCGGTGCGGAGTGTTGCTGGACTGTCCCCTCCACGCCTCCCCCCCCCCCAATCTCGCCAGTGGAGTGGACTGAGCTCCCAGCATCGTGCTGCGGGCACAGGAGATAGCCCCTGCCTTTCCTGAGCCCCTTTCCTGAGCCCCCAGTGACCTCTGACAAAGCACCACCAACAGAGGACTTCAGTTCCCGTGCTTCCTTCTCTATTTCAAATTTCTGGGGTCATCAGTGAGTCCGGGGTGCTCCCTGTGGGCTCATTGCCCACCCTTTCTCGCCCACTCCTTCCTGCCGGGGAACCAGAATGTGTTCATTTGGGCTTTTCCTCTGCTACTTCTCCAACTTGCTGGTTACATCAGGATGGGCCTAGGCCCTTTCCCCGCTTCCTGGCGGATCCAAGTTCAAGTGCAAAGAGACCCTGCGCTCCTGTGGGCAGAGGGCACTAAATCAGCCGCAGAAACGCCGTCCCTCCGCTGCCTCAAACCAGGTGTGGGGATCCCACTCAAGTGAGGGGGCAGAGAGAGCCAGCCTAGGCCAGGACTTAGGGCTGGCGACGATTGAACCAGGTAACGGGACTCCAGGCAGATGTGCTTTCATTGTCCCATAAGATAAATGCGGTGCTAAGTGCCTGACAACTCCCCAGAAGCAATCAGCAAACGTTTACAAGTGCGTAAACCTCCAAGACCATTCTCCGAGGGTCGTCACAAGGCCCACCTTCAGAGCTCCTATAAATTCTCGGGCAGTTTCCCCAAAGCGAAATGCTCACTTGTCTACTAAGCAGCCACCTCCTCCGGGAAGACCTGGGGGATTTTTCTAAGCCTAAGAAAAGGGGTTTTTGGCTCCTACCCAATGAAATAAAGTTGCGCAAAAGTTTGTCCCAGATTTTTGGATGGCCATGAGTGGGGGAGGGGGGCGGGGTGGAAGGATGGCGTGGAGGTGGGGGGGGGGGGAAGGGCTAGGACGCACTTGGTTATCGGACAGCAGCGAAGAATCAGGATCCTGGGAGGGTCCCAGGTCTAAGCCAGGTCTAAGGAGGCATCCTGGCTGCTTTCTGTGGCCACCCTGGCTGGGCTTCCCGGCCCTGCAGGACCCAGCTACGCCCAGGCTCCCACCTGGCTTGGGAGTGAGAGGTTCTTGGCCCCTCCAATGCCCACTGACTGGCTTGCAGGGGTCCAGGCGTCCCGCGGAGAGTGCCAGCCCCCTGGGAAGGCTGTCTCCATGAGGAACCAAACCAGGCGTCTGTCCGTCCGGGACACCTCTCCACTCCTCCTGGAGCCACGGCGCACTGGACTTCCCTGCATGTTTATAGAGAACCCCTTGTTTACAATCCCAGGAAAAGAAAGCTGCTAATTGAAAAACAAACAAACAAAAAACAACCACAAAACTGTAACAGGAGCGCGTCTTGAACTTCTAAAGGGAGAGGTAAACAGCTGCGAACGCCAGGGAAGGGAAGAAGGGAGGGGAGCGGAGTGGGAGGGGGGGAGTTGGGTCCCCAGCGTGATCCGTTAGCTGGCTCAAGCCTTCCAGAAGGGCCGGCCTCGGTCCCAGGCTGGAAAGCCTCCCGCAACCCGCGTGCTCTTTGACAATCTTTGGGTTCCAGTAAATTCTGGGGCGCAACGGGAGCCGAGGACTGGGAAAGAAAGTATTGGGGTCCCGGAGAGATGGAACCTCAGGCCATTAGTTTGGAAAGACGCCGCTGGGCCCCCATCCAGCCTCTCCAGGTGCCCGTGTGGGCGCCGCTGCGCCGGCCTCGCCCTTCCTTTATGAAACCAGGCGCCCAACTGTTCCAAATATCGCCATTCAGAAACAGGTTCTGCGGGCGAGCCTCATTTGTGAATCTATTACAGAGATTAATAGATTATTTCTCCCTTTTTTCAACTAATTCTCAATTGGGAAATTTAACCATATGGTAAGGAGAGAATTAGAATTTCATCACATTAGAGCAAAATGTAATGAAAAGAGTCCAACACCTGGGGCCAACTCGGAAAGCCACAATTAAAAGGTTTTTAATGAAACCGGAGAAACCAAAAAAAATCTCCTAGGCTTCGGCCGTTCTGCCACATAAGGAAGATTTATGGGAGATGCTGGGGAATATTGTTTTTACTGGTGTCATAAGGATGAACACCAGCCGCTAAGTGCCATGTGCTCCCAGACACGCAACTGGGGCGGCGGGAGGCGGGGGGCGGGGGGGAAAGAATGGCGTGTACCCCCTCCCCACCCCCAGAGATGCCCTGTTCTCAGACCTCCCTTTATCAACCCAGGCAGGTCCAGATGTCCCGACGGGGCTTCCTAGCCCTGGCGGTGACTTCTCTGGGCAAAAAAAATATTTTTTTAATGCAAATATGCACATAATGCCCCACTTGGGGTGGGAGAGGATTCGACTCCCTGTAAAGTTGGTTATTCCCAGATTTTAAATCTGGAGGAAACTTTGAGAAATTAGTTCCTTCCTGTTTAGGAAACCGTGTGCCTCCGTCACCATCATCACTGTAGCTGGGAAATGGGGCAAAGACACCCCCTCCACTTTTAATCGAATGGGCTGCCTAACCCATGTGCTCTTCATCTTTTTCTTTTTCTTCCCTGGTTGGAAAGGGGGTGGGGGGAGTGGTGGGGATGGGGGTGGAAATAAGTCCGTGTTGAAGGGGGGACGCGACTGCTTTGCTCTCTCACTAGTTGAGAATCTAGGGTGAACTTGGGGGCCAGTCCACCCGCCCCCAGCCCCCAAAACCCCATCTCCAAATGCAGCCCAGTGCCATCCTGTGCACATGGGTGGAGTATAATTCTCGCCCAGAAGGGTGATTTAGCACAAGATGAGGCAGCAGTGGCAGTGGCGAGGGAAGGGCAGCGGGGTGGGGGTGGGGCTGGGGGTGGGGGGTGGTGGCTTTCCACGGGACTCCCAGGCTACGCTGCCGATCTACAGTTTGCTGAAGGAGCAAAGAAACATCCTCCTCGGCTCTAAGTGGGGCTTTTAGTGTGCTCATTGATGAGTGAAAGTCGCCACACATGTCAAGCTCAAGGCAGTTGTTGGGTTACTAACGGGACCCGGCGCCTTGCAAACATATGCGCGAAGTTGTGTATGCAGATGGCAGGCGGAATAACGGAGCGGGCGCCTCGTATAAAGCCCTCGCCGCTTGTGCCGCCTGTCTCCAGAACCTGGGAGAGGAAACTATTCAGCCTCGCGGCCAGGGAGCGCGCCTGCGATTGTTTGTGACCGTTTTAATCCTATTAATTAAAACGTTAACCTGATTGGGTAGCGAGCGCCGTCCCAACAGGCGAGTCTTCCTCCTCATCATAACCTACTCAGAGAGATAATGATGTAAAAGACTCTCCCCCGTCTGTGGCGGCGGCTGGCTGGCTGGCTGGCTGGCGGATGGGTCCGGAAATCTCTTGAAGGTGAATCCAAGCAAGATAAACGGTGCGGAGCGGAGCGCGGGGCTGCGCTCAGAGCGGCGGCGGCGGCGGCGGCTCCGCTCCCCGCGCGCCCACCCTCCCACCATGCGGGGCCGCGGCCCATGGTGAGCCCCAGCAGCCCGCACCCTCGGCTGGAGACGACGAAGAAGAAGAGGAGGAGGAGGAGGAAGCGAGCGCGGGGGAAGACGAAGAAGAAAAAGAAGGGGAGAGGGGCTGCCAGCGGCACCGGGACCCACGAGAGCATCAGCCCCAGAGGAGCCCGGCTCGGGCGCATCCTCCGCGCCGCCTGACTCCCGAGCGGAGGCGGCGGCGGCGCCGGACCATGGACCGCGGGCTGCACCTCGGCGCGGCCGCCGCGGGCGAGGACGACCTCTTCCTGCACAAGAGCCTGTCCGCCTCCGGGGCCAAGCGCTTGGAGGCGCCTTTCCGCTCCGCGCCCCCGGGCATGGACCTGTCCCTGGCGCCGCCGCCGCAGCCTCGGGAGCGCCCGGCGCCCTCCTCCTCCTCGTCGCCCCCCCTGGGCTGCTTCGAGCCGGCTGATCCCGAGGGCGCGGGGCTGCTGTTGCCGCCGCCGGGGGGAGGCGGTGGTGGCGGCGGGGGGGTGGGCGTCCCCGGGCTGCTGGTGGGCTCCGCCGGGGTTGGGGGCGACCCGAGACTGAGCAGCCTGCCGGCGGGGGCCGCCCTGAGCCTCAAATACGGCGAGAGCGCGAGCCGGGGCTCGGTGGCCGCCGAGAGCAGTGGCGGCGAGCAGAGCCCCGACGACGACAGCGACGGCCGCTGCGAGCTGATGCTGCGGGCCGGGGGCGTGGACCCGCGGGCCTCCCCGGGCGCCGGGGGCGGCGGCGGCGGCAGCACCAAGGCGGCGGAGGGCTGCTCCAACGCCCACCTCCACGGCGGCGCCAGCGGTCCCCCGGGGGGTCCCGGTGGAGCCATCGGCGGGGGTAGCAGCAGCGCCGGCGGTGGCGGTGGCAGCAGCAGCAGCAGCAAGAAATCCAAAGAGCAAAAGGCGCTGCGGCTCAACATCAACGCCCGGGAGCGCCGGCGGATGCACGACCTGAACGACGCGCTGGACGAGCTGCGCGCGGTCATCCCCTACGCGCACAGCCCCTCGGTGCGCAAGCTCTCCAAGATCGCCACGCTGCTGCTCGCCAAGAACTACATCCTCATGCAGGCGCAGGCCCTGGAGGAGATGCGGCGCCTGGTCGCCTACCTCAACCAGGGCCAGGCCATCTCGGCCGCCTCGCTGCCCAGCTCGGCGGCGGCGGCGGCGGCGGCGGCGGCCCTGCACCCGGCGCTGGGCGCCTACGAGCAGGCGGCCGGCTACCCGTTCAGCGCCGGGCTGCCCCCGGCTGCCTCCTGCCCCGAGAAGTGCGCCCTGTTCAACAGCGTCTCCTCCAGCCTCTGCAAACAGTGCACGGAGAAGCCTTAAACATCCCCCCGCCCCCCCCCCCCCCCTGAGAAACATCAGACCGACCCAAAAGCTAGAGGAAAGGGAAGAGCTGCCCCCCACCCCCTGCGTGTTGGCCCTCCGGTAGTTGGGACACATTTGCAGAGCAAACAAAGCAGAGGCGAGAACTGGGAGAGGAGATGTGTCAGAGACAAGCAGGACTTGAGCCTTGACATCCCCAGATTCTGGGTCTTCGGAGTGGGAGGGCGGGAGGAAGGAGGAGGAGTTGAGCTAAAGTATGGATGTCTTTTTTTTTCTTTTCTTTTTAATCTCAAAAAAAGTGGCGACTTTGGTGGCAGCCCAGGACGCCAGGAAGCAGTGTTCCTTTAAGGTTAAAAAATAAGTTTGAAAAGTAGTCGCTTGGTGATAAAGTGTGGAGAGTTATTCATACTAATCATACTAATCATTGTGCATTTGGCTAGTGCTGACTGGGAGAGGAGTCTGGGGTTGGGCGGCTTGTAAGACGGACTATTCATTCAGACAAGTCAGAAAGGGCACTTGGAAATACATTTTGACTCTGAGCCAGGAGAAAAACAATGAAAGGTAGATTTATTTAAGTGTAAAGAAGAAAGCGAGAGACACGTTGCTATGAAAGACTTGTATTTTTTATTGTCTCTGAACTATGGAAACGCTGGAAAGTTTTTGGCAAGAATGATATTAAAAAAAAGCTGTGGCTGAAAGAATTGCATTTAAAAATATTTATGTGCACCTTGTTCCTTTCTACTCTGCAATGATGTATTAACCACTCATGGTATTTATTTGTTATTCTTCAGTGACCCACATCAACAGTATTTATCATGTGTTAAGGTCCTGGGTCTTACTTATGTGCAGATTTTTTTAATGCCTCTAAAATTGTTTTATAGATTAACTTATACTGTGTGCCAAGTGTTTAAAAGGTTTATTTGCCAACAAGTATGAAGAGACCTATTGATGTATCTGAGCTGCTTAGGTTTATCAAAGGTCACCTGGATTTTTTCAGTTGCATCATCCCTGTATTTAAATTGAGCTTTAATAAATTGCTTCAGTCCAAAAATTACAGGAAAGGTGTATTCTTAATTGATGAATGAATTGATCTCTTTTTTTGAAAGGGGACTCCTTTGCATTCTTAAAGGGAAAAACATCACAGCAGTAGAACCTGAGTAAGACCATGCTAAGCAAATTTTTTTTTCCAGACTGTGCTGTGCATTTTTAAAAGCTCTTAATTTAATTGCTTTTAATATATATGTACATATATAAGTTATTTTACTTGTGGAGAATTATTTAAGTTAAAAGACTGGTTTGATTTGCCTATGGTGTGAAATCCTTTGTTATTTTTCTAAAAAAAACATAAAATAAAATTTAAAAACAAAGCTAAGGAAGAGCAAGAAGCTATTTACCCAAAGTGAGCTTTCAGTTTTAGTTTGCATGGCTGCTTGCCTGCCTTTCTATCCTACAAAAATCAAGAAATCCTTTTTTTTTTTTTTTTTTAAAGAAAAAGAAATGGAGTCCTGTTATTTTCCACTTCTTGCAGATAATACAGGTTTGTCAGGTTGGATGGCGAGCTGGGAGCTGTGATGGATCTACTGGTGGGTTTTGGATGTATAAAGAATGATATATATTCAATAGGTCAATCAGACTGTGACAGCTATGTACAACCATTTGTATGTGTATCTATGTCAGAAAGAATCTTTATTAAAATATTTTGATCAAACATTTTATTATGCTGTGCTTTGTGGGAGGAGCAGACACCTCTCCTCGGTGTTACTTTTGGCTTGAAAGGTAACAAAAAAGAAAGGAGTTTCAGAGAAGTAGAGTTTTATCAGGGATATACAAATAGGAGTGACTCCAGTTCTCTTGTGTATTTGGTCAAAGGATGATGGCTGGGCCTGGTGGTCATTGGGGAAGAGAGCAGTGGGGTCAGTGGTAAGACCCAGGGACGGTGCAGGGTGTGCCTGCTTGGCAAACTTTGAAGGCCATGCTTTCCTTGGAATTCTTTTCCTACTTGGTGGTCTTGCTATCCATGTTAGAATCCAATCAAAGATGGTGAAGTTTCTTAAAGAGTTTTGATCAAAATGTCCCTTTCCATCTTGCCCAAAAGCCAAGGGAAAAAAAAAGATGGATTTGGATTCATGGAGGATGACTTTCATGGTGGCTGTCCACATTTTTTTCTGACAGAAGAATCAACCAGGTTGAGTTGTAAGTGTAAACAGTGCCCATAGAGATTTTCAAAGCTTAACAGTGTTGCTTATTAGTGAGATATTTAGGGACTCTGTTTGGACAAATTGGGCATTGATTCTATTAAAGACTGTCTGTATAGACTTGGATTTGGGCCTGAGTAACATCCTCAAATAGAGAAGGTTTGATGTCTGTTGTGGTGGAGGCTGTAGGGACGGTGGTGGCAAAGTCACAGTGCTTCTGTTGTGGGCAGTTTGCTAAATGCACATTTGTCTGTATAGCTTGGGCTCAGAGTGATGTTCCTAAATGCCATCAAACTTAGTGGGGGGTGAGGGAGGGTGTTTTCTGCTCCACTTGCCATCAAAAAGGATTAATCAGAACCTGCAACTTTTCAGAAAACATAACGGCAAAGGGCCTTGAAGCCGAAGCCCTCCCAGTCTGGGAGTGGGGGTAGAGGGAGGGAAGAGACCAGGGCAGCCCCCAGGCTGGAGGAGACCCATCTCTTAGCATTTACCAGACAAAGCCTGGGTGCATCTAATTATGATTATTAAAACAATTTCCATGACGATGTCTAATATTATGTTAATTTGAAAACAACTGTGTATGAAAACTGTCGACTATAATACCTAAATTCATTTAATGAAACACATCGTTAAGGCAATTAAACCTCCTGGATGTGATTAAGAAACATAATTACGACACTGTTCTGCGCCATAATTGGGTGTCTTTAATCAAGGGGTAAAGTGATCAGCAACACAGCCATTAGTTTGTATTGTTCTGGCCCTGCTGTCCATCATTCTGATTAGGAATTAAACACAGCCACCATCAGTCGATTTTTTTTTCCTTTTTGCATATTAACATTGGAGGGGACACATTTGCTGCAAGATTTACTGCTTAGCGTTTCTCGTTATTAAATAGGCCTCTTTGAAATACTTCCTCTGCAACCTCTGTCCTGTTCAACTATTATTACAAATTGTACAAATAATAGTTCTTGAACTTCAGAAGTTCACCCTTTAATAACTCAGTCTCCACGTTGAGTCCTTAAATAGACCTGAAATGGATAGGGATGGAGAAAAAATGAGGATGTTGGAAATAAGTCAAAACGTCAGAGGAATGTGTGCAGTTATTAAAAGGAGCAGCTTAATAACATTTCTTTTTATTTTGATCATTTTAAACCAATCACTTCTCTCTTTCCAAATCCAGAAGTTGGACCAGCATGTTGTCCTAGGAGTAAACGTGAGGTATCTGAAAGGAACTGGGAAGGGGCTTTGGGTGATCGACTTACATAGGTGGCTTTGTCTGCCCTAATCCCAACCTTCCCAAAGTTGCTTTAGCAGCAGCTTTTAGAGATCACTGAGGGTTGGAGAGAGAATTCTTCCCACACCGGTTGGGCAAAACCCGGTGGCTTTTCTTCTGAGGGTTGAATCCTGAATTGGGCCCAGTCTGGAAAGTTAGACCACATAGTGCTGGGCCCCAGAGGTCCTTCCAGTTTGGAGTATCCAGGTGGGAACTTGGTGACTGAGCATGGAGAGGGGAGATAAGGGGGGAGAAAGCAGGGAGGAAGTGCCTTTGGAACAGGGCAGACAGGCTGGCCTGGCCCCTAAGCCTGGTTTACCCCAGGGCCAGGTACCCTGGCCGCCCTGAGCCCCTCCAACACCTGGGAGCCTTGGGGTGCTTCTCCAGGCCTGTAGTCAGGTGGATCCTGCTGCTGCTCTGGTGCCTTAGGAATTGAGAGTGGAGCAGATGAGGCCCAAACGAGGACCCAGAATCCCACTTGGCCTTTATTCCACCTTTTTCCTTTTCCAATTACTCTCTAATTTCAATTTCCTTCTCTAATTTCTCTTAGGTTTCACCTTTTAGGTTTCTCCTCCAGTTTGACACTGGGCACAGACAGAAGCTCGGGGGCTTTTGTCGGATTCCTACAGGACCAGCAAAGGATCATCTCTGAAGAACTCCCCCAGTGGCGTGTGTGTGTGTGTGTGTGTGTGTGTGTGTGTGTGTGTGTGTGTGTTTCCTGATGTGCACTGCACCGCGCAGCTGGGCATCCCCTCCAAGACCTTGTAGGGAGCTAAATTCTTCTCCCTTCTACCGGACTCATCACCCATCTTCACTGCTAACAGCTCCCTAGGGTCGAGGGAGGACTGGTCTCCCAGCCTCCCCTCTCCAGGCCCTCTTGGTCTCAGACAGACGCCTGAACCGAACCTTTCTGCGCTTCCCGGACCTTGAGATTGCTCCAGCATGAGTGGCACGGGCTTCTCCAATGTAATGACTTATGAAAGATATAATCATGTGTTAAATTGAATCCTCCGTTTAACTGTTAATGGTGTGCTCTGGGCACATTTGCGTATGAGATGCTATGGTAACTAATTACCACTAGGAAAGGAAAGGATAATACACTTTCCCCAGACTTTGAAAAATAATGATGAGAGTTCTCTTCCCCGGATCGCAGCGCACTATGGCGGCCACAGCACGAGAGCGGAGACCCCTGAAAGTGTGCGCTCACGAAAGGCGGGAGGTGATGAATCCTGGTCAGGCGAGGATCCTCAGTAAAACTTTTTAATGAAATGTGGGCTGGGGGGTGGAGGCTTGCCAGCTACCCCACGGCACCTCTAAACAACATGAAATGGCAAAAGATGAGCATCAGAAACATAATAAGTCTTCTTTAAATTAAAATGTGGGTCAGACTAAATTATCTACATGCCGAGCGACTTTACATCAATGAACGTTTTGGGTTGTGCGAGCAAAATAAATGAGCCGTTTCCTGCGCGCTCCGCGTTGGCATGGATAACCTGGAGGCCCCTGGATTGCCAAGCCGCTGAGCTGCAGGTTGATTTAAATGTGGCCTTTGTGTATCAGACTTTGGGCACCATAGGTGGTAGGGGAACAGAAGGGGAAACGAGGAGACAGTAACTTAGTTTAAGAGTAAAAGCAACTCTCTGGAGGGAAGAGTCTTTCTCTCCCGCTGGATCTCTGGCTCTTCTGAGCGGTGGGTGACTTGTTTCCCAGAACCAGGGTTCTGTGCGGAGGACCAGGTGTCTGCATCGCCCCGGGGGCCGGGGTTGGCGCCCGGGGACCTGGGAGGGCAGGGAGCGGGGTGCTATTCCTGCAGCTCTGCCCGCCCAAGTTTGCAGACAAACGGAGCGGCGTCCACCTTCAGCGCGCCCACAGCGCCGCTCAGTTCGCGCTGAGCCTCGGGATCCGCTCCCGCCGAGCGCCCCTTCTCCCCGAGCTTCCCCTGGCCTGGCCTTCCAAGCAAAGCCATCCGACCTCCAAGTTCCTAGGGACAAAAAGCGAATTGAAGGGACTTTGCGTCAAACTCTTTGGAGACGTGGCACTAGGATCGGGTTGTGTCCTGCACCCCCCCGCGGCCTCGTGGGCTCACGTGCAAATGCCAGGCTTGCCAAGATCACCCCGCAGCCTCGAGCCACAACCAGGAATTCTGCAAAAGCGCCCCCGTTTTATCCCCCAGGAACCTCTTTGCTGGCTTTCTGATTAGGGTTGAATTCCACCACTTCTTCTAGATGACTGGATTTAACACAATAGGGCAGCTTCTGGACTATTGCAAAGTTAGTACCCCTGCGTGTGACTTTTCCCCCCTTCCCTTCCTCCGTGTTCTCTAATTTGGGCAATGCACAAATTCAGATTAGAAAGCTCCGGGAGAGAAATGACTGTGCTGGGGAGGTTAGACTGCAAAGGAAAGGAGGATTTTGAAGGTAACTTCACCGAGCCTCTCTCTCTTCCCCCTCCCCCCCCCCCCCCCCCCCCCCTAAGATGGACAAACCTATCTTACAAGTCCCCCAAGTCTTAGGGATGCTTTGCTGAGGGAGTTGGCTTTAATTATGTGCACGGTGCTATCATTCACCTTCCCAGTTTGGGAAAGAGTTAATTCTCTCCCAAAGACCATAGTTGCCCTTGTCTTCTCAACCTGACTCAGAGATGCAATAAAATATGAAGCAAATTTATGATCTGTTTCAAGCATTTTATTGCTGTATTTTTAAATTCATATATGCACATATAAGAACTATGATCTGTGAATAATTTGAAATGCTATAGCCGAATGATACATTTCAGATAAAACATAACCATATCTTTATATAATTGTCTCAGATTAAAATAAAAAAGAAAAATAGATTCCTAATGTGGACCAAACTGAAAAACTAATGACTGCCATAAACTGCTAACCAACCATAAATTAACATCTTCATCAAATGCTAAAATGGTATCAGTGGTTATATAAAGCAATTATTATTTCTCCTTATAAGTTTTAGAATAAAGTTCAGGGATATTTAAAGGATCTATTATTTACAAGTGCTTGGCAATCTTAAAAGATTTCACATTTTATTAGGAGGATGGTTGCAACTCAAATCTGCTAGGTTAATAGAGATGTTTAGAGATGAGAATTTACATTTAAACATTAAAGTACTTCATGGCCTAACCTCATTTTATGTATTTATCTGCTCTGGCAATTGCTGGAGAACCTGGTATAAGGATTTCTTTGTTAATATATCCTTTATCTTCTCTTTGAAAAGAGAAGACAAATAATCACTTATTATGGGAGAGCCTCAGATTATGTACTGTCTCTTTAAGTAAGTACAGCTACATCGGCCAGGTACAGTCTCTGCAGAGGTACGGTCAAAATTCGGGTGCCAGGCTGAACCTGTGGCCTCCATCAGAGACTTCCATGAAAAGAAAATGAATTTCCTAACCAGGCCTTCACAGAAATATGAAGAGCCACGAAGAAGAAAAGGAAGCAGGGTCAGGAATTAACCCCCACCCTCCCCATTTTTATTTTATTTTTTATTTTTATTTTTGAGAAGCATCAGACATATGTTATCTTTGAAGTGCAGATTTCTTGGGAGAGTGAAATTAGGTAAAATCTGGAATTACTCAACAAAGTAAGCTTTTCTTTAACATTTAGGAAAAATTTTAATGAAAACAAAACACTTCATTGACCTATGGAGGATCTGAGTGGCATACAAACTCAAATTATCTCTGTCATTCCAATGATCTGCACAGTATGTTTTCCTAGAGGGTAGTGGTTGCAGATGACCAACCACCAAAGGTCAAAGGTGAACTGAGATCTTCACTGGCAAAGTCCTAGGACCACTTCTTTAGTTTACTTTTTGCAAGAATTGTTTAGTATGAGGACTTTCTTCTTTAAAAATAAGTATTATTTTTCAGCTTTTCTGTAACCTAGAATTGTTAGGACATTTAAAAAAAATGAATACCTAATTTCAAAGCATAAAGGAAACATTACTTTTTGTAAACTTTTAGATTCATAGAAAATTCAAAAGTAATTTCAAACACTTAAAAAATTTCATTTAAAATATAAAGCAAAACACTTACAAAACTTTAAGTATATTGGCCAGTTTTTAGAAGTTATGGAATAAAAGTGCATTTCATTTTAACATTAAACATACAAAGCATTTATGTGGGTTTTCATGTAAAAATTACATATATTTCATAATAACAATAGCTATTTCTTAGAAACAAAATATGAAATAAATGTTCTTTTGCAAACAAAAAAATATCCCCAATTAATACATACTTTATATTTTTAAGTATTTAAATTTGACTCAGTGATGAATAGATATTAGTACCTTTATTTGTTACTCACATCTCCCTCTAGTTTCTCCTATAAGCACAAAAGGTTGTAAGAGAAATAAAATGCTATCCAAACATTTTCTTTCTATGTAGTCTGCAATCTATCATGCTTTTTATAGAATGAATATAGTTAGAGACTGAGAACATAAACTATGCCTCAAATAATTAACAGTAAACTGTATCAAACTTAAAATTACCCAGCATAACCATGGTGTATTTTCTCTATCCAGCTGTACCTTAAGTAGAATATACACATTACTACTTACATGATCATGATTAAATCCATAGAGAATTCTGCAAAATTTTTGTTTCCCCAATAAATGCTTTTTAGAGTAAAACTGAAAACAAAGGTAATTATTTCATAGACTCTTAATTTAAGGACATAATTTACCATGATCATTAAATAATATTGCACTGACTAATTCAAATGCACACAAACACTTTCTGCATCTGAGGCAAATTTCCTTAAAACAATGACTCACATGAGTGTTTATTGAAAAGCCAAATATCTCAGTGAAATTCTGTATGGCCAGTAACTGAAGGAGCCACATTTCATTTCCATCAACAGCATTCAGTATGATATGCTTTTATACAGTTTGAATTCTAGCTTTATGAATAAATAGAATACTGCCTAAATATTACTGTTTTATTCATTGTATGTGGTAAAGTGATCTGCAAAAGACAAAGGCCATGTCTAATGGAAAGATCTCTCCCTTTTCTTGTTCTTACACATCTCTCCACAGAATAATAATTATTAAGAACTGTAGCCTAGCAAGGTCAGCCAGGTTAAAAGAAACTTATTAAAAAGTTTACTACGGCCTGGCTGGGTAGCTCAGTTGGTTAGAGCATCATTCCCATATACCAATGCTATGGGTTCATCTCTGGTCAGGGTGGTCAGGGCACATGCAAAGCAACCAATGAATGCAAAAATAAGTGGAAGAACAAATTGATGTCTGTCTCTCTCTCTCTCTCTCTCTCTCTCCTTCTTGTTCTTGTTCTTCTTCTTCTTTCTCTAAAATCAATCAACAAAATATTTTAAAATTTTAAAAAAGCTTAGTTACTGATATTTCTTGTATCTATGTTTATTTCCACATAAATTACTAAGCTAAAATATATTGACAAATACTCTGAATATAACAATTAATATTATTTTTTAAAGAAATATATATTTTGTTGATTTTTTTACAGAGAGGAAGAGAGAGAGATAGAGAGTTAGAAACATCAGTGAGAGAGAATCATCAATCAGCTGCCTCTTGCACCACCCCTACCTACTGGGGATGTTGCCCACAACCAAGGTACTGCCCTTGACCGGAATCGAACACGGAACCTTTCAGTCTGTAGGTCGATGATCTATCCACTGAGCCAAACCGGTCTCGGCAACAATTAATATTCTTTTAAGGAGAGTATCAGGAAATAAAAACATATGCATATACTATATGTGTATGTAGATGGGGATGAGGATATAGGGCTATTCAGACAGCAAAATCATTTCCCAAATAATTTGTCACTTGTAATCAGGTCTAACATGTTCCTATTAGGGAAATAAGAGGACATGGTCATTCATCTGTGCTTTAAAATTTGATTTATTGAATTTCTGTTGTAAAGCATTTTTTCTTACCTACAATCTTGAGATAATATACTTTCTCATAAATCCACATATGTACCATTTTAAAATCAAAAGATAGTATTAAACAACTGATTCAGGACAACAGTTTTTAAAAAAATATACAGCATTCCTCTGCCTAAAAATATACTTTAAAGCATGAGTATTGCCAAATTATCTCCTATTTAAAACTATGTAGTATAGCTTTTCATGAATTAAATTTATCTTACTCAAGAAGGCATTATAAATAAACATTAAAGCTAAAAAGTTTAAACATCAATGATCATTGATTTACATGAGCACTATGAAGTAGAATAAGTAATAATTGCTTTAGAGAAATACTAGAGAGTTTTATGTGATCACTCATTATAATTTAAAATAATGCTACAGGGAATGAAATCTTGGCTTGCTTACTTTTTCTTAATTGAGAATGAGAATATGAAAACCTAATAATGCAGTTCAAGTAAATAATAGTTTGCAACAATGGTGAATTTAGTAGGTTACAACAGTGTATGTTTTACTGGCATGTAATTTTTATTTTATCATTGTTGACATTATTTTACACTGAGATCAAAGCCTAGATAATTGTTAGCTTTAATCTTGGAAATGGGTTTTAATATTCCTGTTACATTAGGAGATGCTTATAGGAAAAGGTGCCCAAATTATTTTTTATGAGAAAATAAGCAGAAGTAATCATGTCAATTTTGAGTTAGGAAGATCTGTTGCCTTTGACTTGTGACCCAAAACTTAATGATGAAATGGAGAAGATATAATGAAGTCAGTCAGAAAAACTAAAAGAAGGCAGATAAAAGTTCCCATGTGGGTTGCTTATGGCATGCCTTATTTAGTGATAAATAGCTTTTGTCTAAATACTTTCAGAGCACTTAGTTTTTGATGATACATCATGATTGGTGGTCATTGATATAAATCAACATCATTATTTTTATTTGTTTCCTTTCATTTGAAACTTAGGGGAGATTTACAAATGAAAATATGGGTTTTTCTAACATGTAAAATATAGTTTGAAAAATTCTGAAGCCTCATTGACTATGTTTGGCTTTGGTTATTTTTGCCATACAATCATAAAAACTGATATGTATGTTTTAATGTGTGTGATTATCTACAGAGTAATTTCTCATTACAAAACATTATTGTGGAATTAATGATGGAAGATTGGTTAGAACTAGTGATAAATCAGAATTTTCGAATATTTTTAAAAAGATGAATTTATTACTTACTACATTTACAATAAATTAGTTGTGAGCACATTGCTTTCCCTACTATATTGTATATTCCTGAGGAAAGGTAACCTAGTGCATCACATCATATCTAGAATAGAGGAAATGCTCGATGAATGTTTGATCAAATAAATGAGTAATGCGTTAACTAATGACAAAAATTACTTCCTTTTACAATAAAAGTAGTTTTCAAAAGGCACAACATTGTTAAAGCATCTCCTTTTCAAGTTTACATTTGTATATTGCATTTCACTTTTCAAAATGTTTACACACCTTCCTACTGTGTTTCATCCTCACAACGAACCCTGATGTCGAAAGGCCTTATTATTTTTATTTTGAAAATAAGAAAATGAAACATTGAGAAGCAAACTGACTTGTTGATCATAACAAACCAGTTATGTCACAGCTTGAATCCTTGTCTTTTAACTTATTTCACCATGGCATTTTTTTTTCTATTCATAAATACTTTTTAATTACTAGATTTAAGCCTGTCATAGGACTCTCTTGTTTTGGTTCTCCTGTCCATTGATTTTGCATAATATTTTCTCAGCCATTTAATGTATTCTTTTTTTCATTTAATTTATTCTTATTTTCTATTCTAAATTTCTGCACATATTTCTCATTATAAATTTAGCAGAAATAAAAATGGAATAATTTTCTCCATTTTCTCTGCTGTAACATCACAGGAGTGTACTATTAAGATGATTTTAAGAATCTGAAGGTTTCCACTTCAGGTAAGATGGTGGACTAGATATCCTAGTACAACATGAATGGGCCATGTTTTGTGGCAGGCAGGAGATAAAGCCCCAGGCCTGAGTTGTGTGTATGTGTTTACACACTATGGAGGTTGAGGACAGGATGGAAGGTGGCTGGGCATAGAAATGGCAAGAAAAGTGAGGGTAGTTTAAGATTGGGCTTTGGCTTCTACTTCAAAGTAACAGCTTCCTGGGAAAATAGATAATTAAAAAATGATGGATACACATTTTGGACCATTGAATTAAGAAGGATCTGGTTTATAGAAAATACATTTGTGTAAATCAAAAACATTCAGCCAAGATAATAATAGATGTGCTATGAAAAGATAAACATAAAAACACATTAGAATATTTGCCTATGATGGGAAGGGTATGATGGTGAGGGTTAGGGATAAAACAGGATAAATAAATAAAGCCAGAGGGGGCTTGCTTGGGCCAATTATTATTGTGCACCATGAACTAATGGGTATAAGGACTATGATTATTCAATCCTATAAGCCTGAGGTTAAAGTAAAAAGAAGGAAGAAACAAACTCAATGGATATGTTAAAGAGCAGATTCAATACACTGTACAGAGGGAGGGGAGGAAGGGAAGAAACCTAGAAGATCTAAAGAAATTACCTAGGATGTAAATTAGAATTATAAAATAAGCGGAGAAAAGGTCAAACAACATTTAGTATAGAGTGAGAGAATCTAATAGAGAGCTAGAAAGAGGTAATATTCAAAGAGATAGTGGCTGAGCATATCTCATACTTGATGAAAGACACACATTCTCAGTCTCAAGAGTCACAAGCATGATAAATAGAAACTAAAAGCACTGAAGACAAAGAGAACATGTTAAAGCTGTCAGAGAGAAAGAGCAGACTTCTACTGAATAATTAGACTGACTAAAGGCTAACCGCTTGACAACGATGGAAGCCTTAGGAACATGTAATATCTTCCAAATATCGCGAGGAAATGATTCTCACCTGGATGTGTGCACCATAATAAAATCATGTTTCTAGAATGAGGGCAAAATGAAAACATCTTGAACCAAGCAAAAGTGTTGTTTAGACCACAGGACCTTCCCTAAGGAACATTTAGAGCATGTTTTTCAGGAAGGAAAAAAAATAAATGCTGGAAAATCTATTTGCTTATTAACTAAACACTTTAAAATGTTATTTAAAAATCAATTTCTGCTTTAAACAGTAGTGCATTTCTGAATATTAAAAGTTATCATTAATGTGGCATGAATTACCTGTGTTTTACTACCTGTTTTGCCTCTTTAGATAGAGCATCATCACTTATGTCAGATGCTAGACAATCAATTGCTTGGTAATCTGATCCTTGAAATCTTTTTAAAAAAAATGTATTTTATTGATTTTACACAGAGATGAATTGAGAGGGATAGAGAGTTAGAAACATCGATGAGAGAGATACATCGACCAGCTGCCTCTTGCACACCCCCCACTGGGGATGTGCCCGCAACCAAGGTACATGCCCTTGACCGGAATCAAACCCAGGACCTTTCAGTCCGCAGGCCGACGGTCTATCCACTGAGACAAACCGGTTTCGGCTGATACTTGAAATCTTTGAATCATGGACACAATGCTGCATTTGACATATCAAATTATATTTTATTACCTAGTGTTGTAATTCAAAATAAAACAAACAAACTCCAAGTCCAAAGGTGAGGTGTCAAGAACAAATATTCCTATCTAGTTTTTGTTTATATAAATAGAAGCATTTAGGAAAGACTAAATTGCAATACTGGCATAATCTTATGGTTTATACTAAAGCCAAATGCTACAATCAATCCTGTAATGATTTCAACATTTGTTTCTGCAATAAACCAATACTAATGTCTAGAGCAATTGCTGGATATATAATAGGTTTTGTGTGCTCTTATACATGAAATCTTATCAGATCCAACTTGAACATGAGTGGTCTTATATCAGAATAAATTTTGTCCTATTGAGCTATAGTATACAAGTAATAAAGAGCATTTATGGGTGATTAAATATTAAAGTAGAAGTATTTAATCTACTGCACAACTCATGTAATGAAAACATACCCTGATGATATAGATATTATTGATATTATACCTGAAGGGAATATTTTCATTCAGTCTATCTCCTGGAAATTTAATTTCCTTCTCTGTGAATTTGGGAGTTGTTAGACTGTGTTCATTTCCAGCACAAATTTCCAGTAGTACATAGTGTATTTACATATTAGAGAAGAATTTAGGTGACTTTTAAAAATCCCACACCTATTGCCATCTATTTACTATCACAGGTGAAAAATCACAGTATGTAGAAACTTAAAAACACTAAAGTTAAAAACACTAAACTTAAAAAAAAAGATGTTAATTTTGATGTCCATTTTCACAACATTCACTTGTTTTGTTTTATGAACAAGTACAAGCTGAACTGATCTCAGATAAAATAAAAGTTAGCACTTTTTAAAACAAAAGAAGCAAAGCAATTACATTTACCGAAATTAAAAACCAATTGATGAGCTGACGATGTTTAGGTTGGTTTTGATAGATCTCTCTCTCTCTTTCTTTTTTTTTTTTTTTTTTTTTTTTTTGCCTTTTAGCTTCTTTGAGATTTGACTTTGTACCTAAATAAAACATCAGAATCTGGGTACTGAATACCAATCAAGAAGCGGCCGTAGTCCAGTTGTACAGGTTTATCATCCATTATTTCTAAATCAAAGTAAGTTAAGAGTACAACTAACAATTGCTTTATTTCATTGATTGCCAAAAACCGGCCTGGGCATTTGCTGGCTCCCATTCCAAATGGTAGTACGTAATGCTTCAGCCTTTTGCCTCCTTTGAAAAAGTTGGTTTTCTTCTTGCCATTTTCTACAAAACGGTCAAATTGATACTCCTGTGAAGAAGAGATGGAGAGTGTTACAAGAAAAATTTTTTTACACAAAATAGTTTGAGTTCATGTCCACAGAGTGCTGACTCCTTCTTGTCTTAAAAGGCTCCTTTGAAGAAAATAAAACTTAGAGCAAATCATGTATGCACTTTCAGAAAAATTCAAATTCTACTAAGAAGTTATTTTTCCCACATAGAGTAAAATCCAAATACCTATATGACTTTCCTTCCCAGCACATATTTCTCTCCTATGCTGAATTTCCTAATTAAAGAGGCACTATGTCTATTTTTTGTTGCGTAAGGTGGGTCCTGACTCACGAGTACTTGATAAACCAATGTTGGTAGAAAGTCAGGCTCTGGCACGGGCACCATACTAATTAAGGATCTAGAATATGCTGTTTTCTTACTCCTTTCCAATCAGCTATTAGTGACTGGGATGAAAACTATGAACTTAGGATTCAATGCTTATGTTTTTTATGCAAAAGATATAAAATAATGAGATTCATATAAAGCACTAGAGAGGAGCTAAGCCACAAAATCAGTCTTGCCTGTTTTTTGATGTTGTACTGAATTTCTCCTATGACAGTTCTATTAGAATGAACTCTCTTTGGGGTAACTCTAGGATGGCAGGTGTTTCTGATATGTTTTTATAAATAAGCTCTATTACTTGTTACAGAAAATGATGGGAATGGTTCATCACCGGTGTTTGGCCCGCCATCTTCATTTACTCTCACTTGAGTTTGCAAGAGGAGACTGAGTGACCTTATTTCGGCCCATGGCGAATTAAACCATTGATTAAATTAACACGTGGCATGCATGAAAATGACCACATTTCTCCTGTGCTTGGTGCTCATTAGCATTAGGCCTGCTCAGCACACAACTTTTATATAAACTACATGAAATCAAAGGCAAAGAGCAGGTCAGATGAAAAGCATTTCAGGTTTAAACCTGGGTAGATGCTGAATTCATCACGAACCACCTAACTGTCTCACTTCATGCCAGCATTAATGTCAGTGAAATCATTTCCTTTAAAAGTATGGAGTTCACCCTCATTTATTTGGATACATATTTTGATAAATAGTCAAGCTAAGAAAACACATGTTGGGTAACTTCTATTTCCCTGTCACTTTCAAGTTGATGGAATCAAAATGGCAAAATTAATCTGCAGTAGAACACAAGTGTATTTTCCCACAGAGCAATTTCTGGGATGTATTCGAATAGAATCTAATCAGTTTGAAATAAAAAATCTCACTTCATCCCTAGAAATAAGGACACTCTTTGTTGACATCTATTTTGTTCCCAGAGATAGAATTACTATATGGCACTCTTTCCTGGTGAGCTTTTTCCATTACTGTGTTCTGGGCCTGCTTGCCCAAGTTCAGTACTGCTGCTTCCTGACCAATCTGAGGAGACCAGCACACTCACTGAGATCTCCTCGCTTTGGCCAAATAGTTTACATTAATTGTGCCATGAAATAATTTGTTAGAAATAGTCTCACGGGAGTCCCAATGTTTAATCCAGAAAGTACAAAAGGAAAACTTAGCTTAGGTTATGGCTTCACAATATCCTGGTTTCATAAATAAGCCAGAAACTGTCATGGCTTTCCTGTTCTCTGTGAAATGCAATATGCAGTCCTCTGAGAGGCCATGGCGATCGACATATAACAGTCCCCTACCCCTGTAACCTTAGCTAGTGTTTACATTCAGTTCCCTCAAATTTCTAGTCAATCAGTAATGTCATCCTCTAATTTTCCATCATATTCAATTTCCTCATACTAAACATCATAGACATTCCTATTTAGTTGGGATATATTTTGAAACAAGACGGGAAAAGACCAACTTCTTTTGCTGAGACTATCATCAAGATCAAAGGGCACATAGGCATAAATATATTTTTGAGTGGAAATTTATCTTCAGTTTGTTTTCCTTCCATTGCCAGGGCATGGAAAATCAGAGCAAAATGAAATATTAGGAAGAGCTTGTGGCCTGGCTGGCATGGCTCAGTAGTCGAGTGTCGACCTATGAACCGGGAAGGTGTGGTTTGATTCTTGGTCAAGGCACATGCCCGGGACTTGGGCTTGATCCCCACAGATCAATGATTCTCTCTCATCATTGATGTTTCTACCTTTCTCTCCCTCCCTCTTGGAAATCAATAAAAATATTTTAAAAGACTTTAAAAAAAAGGAAGGGCTTTTGTTTAATGTTGACTTAAACTCTTATAACCATAATAACTCAGTGCTTCCTAATTAAAGGGGGCCAATTAAATGCAATATTATTAAGTGGATAAGAATAAAAAAATTTTAAGAGAAAAGGTAAGACACTAAAATGTCCTATTGCTCCTCTAATGATTGCTTTGGATGACTCCTCAACATCTTCCTTCTGCATAAGATCTGTTGTGTGTGTGTGTGTGTGTGTGTGTGTGTGTGTGTGTGTGTGTTTTCATTTGTTTCTAGGTTCCAATGATGGTAATCACATCATTCTGACCTCTGACTGATTTAGAAGAGGGTATATGAACCAATCTCATCAGGGCTACAGGAGAAAAGTTTGTGGGGACTTCTCCAGATGTCTTCTTGTGAAAAAAGAAATACAAACAAAGAAAGAAACCAACAAAAATAGTTCATCACCTTTTCTCCTCTGGACCTAGTTATATATGAATATGATGATTGCAACTGCTGTGGCTTTCTTGCCACCAGGCAGAAGACAGAGTAACCCACAGAAAATGGCAGAACCAAGAAATCCCAGGAGATTGTAGTATTCACACTGTCTTATTTATCTCTGTATTTTTTTAAAAATTATTTTTATTCATTTTGTACATAGAGGAAGGGAGAGAGATAGAGAGTTAGAAACATCGATGAGAGAGAGTCATCGATCAGCTGCCTCTTGCACACCCCCGACTGGGGATGTGCCCGCAACCAAGGTACATGCCTTTGACAGGAATCGAACCCGGGACCTTTCAGTCCCCAAGCCGGCGCTCTATCCATTGAGCCAAACCGGTTTCGGCTATCTCTGTATTTTTTAAGCACCCAACTAGGTGCTATGCACATAGTAGAGGTTCCATATTTGTTTCTTGACATTCAAAAAACTGGAAGATATGTGATTCAGAAAAGCCATGGCCTGTTTATGTAATGTAATATTCTAGGGTCTCTTAAGCTTGAACATCCTGAACAACCTTGTTGGGTTGGGAGAACCTATGTTCTGCTAAGACTATTCCGTGTCTATGTGCTCCAAGAATAACTATACTTATATCTGAAGTTAGTCTTCCTCATGTTTTTTCACTCAATGGCGATTGTCTGTTTTCTATATCTAAAGCCTGGTCCTCTAATTCAGGATATGTAGTAGACAAAAGACAGGATATGGGGAATGTGGGCCTCTGGTGAGCTCCTGGGCCAGGGCTCTTAGGGACAAATGGTCAAGGACAGATTTGCCTTCTGGACAGTGAGTGCATCGTTGTTTTTGGATGGGCATGTGTTATAGAAACACCTGTCTTATTGCGACCTTAAGTTGTTAAGAACAAAATGAATCAACTTATATGCTCACTAGTGGTAAATTCTCAGTAAATGTTTATAGAATGATTACACAGGACCTTGCCAAGTCATAAAAATGGCTCTGAACTATAATTATTAGCATTCCACAACTAATTTCAAGAAAACAATACCATGTCAGAGAATTAGCTGGTTAATTTTAATATCATCCAGGTACAACTGACTGTTGTTAAGTGTAGTAAATAATAGAGTGCTCATCTACTTTAGTACGAGCTACCCCAGTGATGCTAAACCAGTAGTCACAATATTGCAATTTCACTCTTCCACAGGTTTAGTATGAGGCCAGTCCTTCCAGTTACTATTAAGATTGGCCAATATATTATGTAAAGTTTGGGAATGTGCTTGCAGCATATAAAAATACCAGAGAAGAAATATAAATCAGCACACTTTCAGTAGTTAACTTTGATTTAAAAATCCCTAGAATTCTAACTCATGGCCTTTTCTACCACTAGGGCAGGGTTAGGAGTGGAGGATCGGAAGAACTCAAAGAACAGTACCATAAAAAAACCAGTGGTGAGTTGGCAAATATTTCTTGAGTATTTACTGGTAACTTTTTTTTTAATTTTTAAAAAATTATTTTAGAGAGGAAGAGAGAGGGAGAGAGAGAGACAGAAACATCAATTATGAGAAAGAATCATTAATAGGTGCCTTCTGCAGAGCTCTCACTGGGGATCAAGCCAGCAACCCGTGCATGTATCCTGAACAGGAATGGAACCTGTGATCTCCTGGTTCATAAGTTGATGCTTAACTCCTGAGCCACACCAGCCTGGCTGGGCTTTCCTGGTAACTTTAATGTTGATTTTACTATTATGACATGGATGGTAAACTTAATAACTATTGGATTAATCATATAATAAAAATGATGTTAAATATATTAAAAATTACAGACTTAGCGGGTTTGGCTCAGTGGATAGAGCACTGGCCTGAGGACTAAAGAGTCCCGGGTTTGATTCTCGTCAAGGGCACATGCCTGGGTTGTAGGCTCAATCCCCAGTAGGAATCACTTTCATCATTGATATTTCTATTACTCTCTCCCTCTCCTTTCCTCTCTGAAATCAATAAAAATACATATTAAAAATTATAGCTGGAAATAAAGCTATTTAAAATTTTAAAATACTTTCCAAATATTAATTATTTATTTGCCCTGTTTATTGACTACCTATTCATGGGTGAAAATTTTGATATTAACAAATGTGGAAATAAAGCTTGTTGTCTGGGAAATGTTCATTCACTCACTAACACCTTACTTCTGACTTACATCATCATTCATTTAATGTCCCTTCTGAAACACACAGAAACCATATGTACATGCTCCCTCGCCTAAAATTTTTGCCTACAACCAATGTAAATTATCTCATTGTATTTGAAGTTGTCCTCTTCTTATTAGTTCCCCAAATTCAACAATATTTTAATCCGGCGTGGCTGTGTGACATCTCACTTAGAAACTGGGTTTAACAGTGGTTCACCTTTTGACCTGCTCCAAAGGAGAACAGAGGTTTCCCTTTAAAAAATGGCCTCTCATATACAAAAACCACTGCCACACCAGCATTGCTTCCTGATTCGAACAGGCAGACTATGAGTGCATTCAATTTGCATGCAGGTGGTGAACCTCTGAAGTGGTATTAAGGGATGAGCCAGTGTGGATTAATTTCCAGTCTTTGATATTCATTAACTCCAGCTTTGGGGGGAAAAAATATGAGATGACACAATTGCCCTTAGAGCTTCATCCGTGAGCAGCAGCTTTACAATCTCAAGTTCCTAAAGCCATCCTTATTGCTCAAGAAGGGGCACATATCTTTAGTAAGAGGTGAAAACGTATACGGACTTAACTACGACTATGATGGTATTTAACTTGGGGATATCAACCCCATTCTGGAAACACTTAGCAAAATCTAAGTGTCATCATTATTTATTCTCTCAGCCGCCTGTCAATAGCTTGCCCTTTCAACAATTCTCTGCCACGGAAACCTAATTATGCCCTAAAGGTAATGATGGCCAAGGTACAGTGTCCATTTCATTTGATGAAACTAGCTCTGAGTCTCATCACTGTATTCCGATTTATAGGCCATAAAAACTTTGAAAGAGAGATCCTTAGCAAACACTTCAGTAAATAGGAACATTTTCCTAGCGGAGGAAAAACAGAAATCATCAAACTCTCGCAAATGCCACCTGGAACATGGGAGTGAAAGGCAGGGACAGAAAGAGCTCAGGAGAAAGAGGAATGTGCTTGCAGCATATAAGAAGTAGCAATGGCCAGCTCGGTGGCTATTTACCTCAGGAGCTTCAAAGATTTCAGGGTCGTGATGCATGAGTGGAGGGAATATGGCGACCAGGTCTCCCTTTCGTATGAGGTAGTCCCCGGTCTCTGAAGGCAGAGTCAAATCCTCTTGAACAAAACGAATGATGGACGAAAAGGAGCAGAGACGCAAAGCCTCGAGGATGGCACTTTCTGAAGGAAAACAAGCAAGCAACAGCTTTTTAAGATAAATTTTTAAATAGTTATTTATTTGTTTGTTTATTTATTTATTTCCATCACCATTCATTTTCCCCTACATCCTCTTCCACTTCTATCCACACTTTCTCCCTCCCCAATCAGCATACTATTGTGCATATCCATAAGTAGTCCGTCCTTCCTCTCTCTCTCTCTCTCTCTCTCTCTCTCTCTCTCTCTCTCTCTCACACACACACACACACACACACACACACACATACACACACACATTTTTTTTTTTTTGCAAGCAACAGCTTCTTAAAACAAGACTGCTCCTGTGGATTGCCTACAATTTACCAGTGAAGTTCACCATCAATAGCTCTGACTGAAAAGGAAACCCTTTCCTAATCAGATCACAGAGCATGGTGGCCTGGCATGACCAGAGTGAGAAGGGGGTAAGTGAGACAGCTGTGGTCTGTCCTCAACATGGCCTGGGAACATTTCACAGACGGGAGCAACAGTGCTGCGCTTGGGCAGAATGTCAGTCGTTAGGATTTCTGTAGGAAGGAATAGTTTGCAAGAGAGCAATGCTGTGTTGTGGGCATACCCATTGTAAATGAAAAGCACTAACAACTGCTGGTGGGTTATTTCACCAACCTTCCAGAAAGCTCTGCCTTTCAAGCCAGACTGAGGCATTTAATAACCACTTAGGCAGTTAATAGTAAAGTGATTGTAGTGGTGTTTCCTGAGACAGCTTAACACTTAATTTCTTTTATGCTATCTGCAAATACAGTGTGAGTCAGCATTTGCTGGAAACATTTCAAAGGGGAGATACTTTTACAGGATTCAGAAGAAACCCCAATTTCCCTCCCTTCCAGGGCAAATAGCAACCATCATCATAACCTGGAAGATTCCAGAAGCTGAATGTCCTTGCTTTCCCAGTGGCCTTCACCTTTTGCTCCTAGCACGACAGATTTTATGGCTAATTTCCGGCAATTTATCCTGGCAGTTTGAGGAGGAATTCCTTTGGGAATAATATGCATAATTTGCATAAATCATTCTGATAGCATGCATATCAGCATGTAGCTCCCGTCTGGGTCTGCATCTCTGCCTTCATAATCAAAACTGACTATGTTTGCACCAGCGTGAATGGGTCCTAGAATATAAAGCTTGCTTCCTTCTAATCAGAAATGTGAAAAAGAGCTCCACATTGAGTATTTTCCCCCTTCACATGGTAACAAATGGTTGTGTTTATGGCTTGTGATGTAGAAACACACACACACACACACACACACACACACACACACACACACACATATATATACACACACAAAGCCCAGTCTCCTGGTGTTCAGCGAAGATCTGAAACATGGGTACCTATTATTAGATTATAGAAGCAGACTGGTCAGTGAGGGCTTGAAATTGGTCTGTTGGCGATGAGGCCAGAAAAGAACTTTGGTTTTGGAACGTGAGCTCTCCTGCAGATAGCCACAAGGCACCTGATAAAGGATGGATTTTAGCTGGCAGGTCACCAGCGACCAGCATTTCTATGGTGAAATCCGAGGGCCAGCTTCCCCTGGATGGCTGCTGGCTCTGTTGGGTCAACAATAGCGCAGCATCGTTTTAGCTTGTGGTGTGAAATGGTAGCTGACATATGTAGCAGCCTGTTCCCCCACGAAGTCCAATAGGGGTGTGGGAAGAAGAAATACAAAAGCAAAATAATGACGCCACGGCTGCTGTGACAGGACAGGCATTTAACAGTCCAAATAACACGGTCCTATCTGATTGGCCGAGGTGCTCAGAGGGGTGGAGGGGTGGGGGGAGGGCAAGCATGGCAGCTTGTGCCCACTGCAGTATCGCAAATGACAATTGGGCAAGCATATCTTATGCAGAAGTTAATCACAATAATGGAGCACAAAGTGTGGCTTAGCGGTCAGATCATAAATGACAAATCTGTTTTACCTTCCAGTACCAGTTATGTGTGCACGACGAGGCTGGCTCTCGCTCTGAGCGATCATGCCGATAATCATTAGAGGGCAGGAGTAATGAGATGCGTTATTTTTAACAATGGAGAGCCGGGCCTTCTGTGCCTCTGGGTTGCCACCGACAGGCGCAAAAGCCAGCAGCTTTCCCCCCCCCCGAGCCCCAGTAAGAACGCAGGCAGAGCTATAGGTTGAGAAGAATGACAACTGCACCATAAAAAAAAAAAATAAAAAAAAGAAAGAAAAAAAAGAAAGAAAGAATTGCAGCCTCTACTTGTAGTTGTCATAGTTGAGCAGACACCAGCCAGTGCCACTGACAGACCAGCTGGGCCCTGGGAGGGCATCCATGCTGCACCAGGAGGTACAGTAAATTATCCTGAGCGGTAGAGCAACATCTGTTTCTGTGCTAGCGCCGAACAAACAAGGCAATTTAAAACATACCAAGGGATAACCAGGCAACAATTGAACATGACCCTCATCCCTCCCCCCCCTCCTTCTCACGCACGAGGTGCTAAACTTTGTTGTGCAGCAAACGCGCCACCAAAGAGAGGCCAGGGTGGTATCGGAGAAGGTGTTGTCAGAGGCATCTTACAGAGCTCCAAAACGGAAAGGAAAAAGCGTATAGTATTGTTATTCTTAGCATCTTCCTTCCCCCTACTATCTTTATTTCCTTTATGACAAAGCTAGCACTCAGTTCCCTAATTCGTTCTAGAATTAAAAAAAAAACAACACATACAACTTTCCATATACTTATAAATATTCAGTCTTTAAACCTAATTTGCTATACTTAGTTCACATGCCTTCAAGCATTTGTCTTCCAATTTCCACTGAATAAATGCGTACTAATGAGAACGAGAGCAAGCTGCCGAGGCAAAGCTGGGTGACTTGGGTCTGGCCTGCCACCAGCTTGTGATCGGCGGGCAAATTGAGTTAAAATGAAAAGTCTTGTCAGCGGAAATTCAACATGGTAGCCAAACAGCAAGCTGTCAATCATTTCCGGGCAAAACACGGGGCTGCAGGTAATCAAAGGTCATGGTGATCATCAGTGCACTTGGCTTTCATGGGCCCGTTAATCTTAATTAAACATGATCCCTATCTGCAAGTGTTTTATAAAACTTACTGGGCGTAATGGATTGTTCATGTACACTAGCGTTTAGCAGGTAACAGGACCCTCCGCTTATGAAATGCATGGTAGAAAAAATGGCTGTCAGGAATGTAAACATTTGGGGGCTAATTTACACCAGGCACTGTAAGATGCCAACAATGGCAATGGTGATTCAGATAAAGGCTACCCTCGTTTTATGTGCTGAGCTTTACTGACCAGCACACACAAGGAAATGTGTTTACCAAAATCCCCATAAGCAGCTTGCAAGTCAGAGCCTGCACGGCCCTCTTCACCTGGCTGGGGAAGGTTTGTTTATCTTTAGGATATATAAAAATATTCAGATTCAGTATCTGCTGTAGGCACAAAGCTGGGGACTGTGCTGCGCTAAGATGCTTTGCGTACAGTGTCAGTGGGAGGAAAACCACGGGTAAACGAAAGAAATGGTGGTAGGAAAAAAGGCACACGCACTTTCTCTTTTGCCCTCAGATCTCAATGCTCACTGCAATCATTGACAGATGATTCTCATTTGCAGCTTTAAAGGGAGGAAGCAGCGTTGGACCATCAATAATGCATGGTACGACGCAAACACAAATAAGCACATCCAAGTTTCTGCCTCACACGTAAGCCACGTCTGTGTGTGGAATGAATGCAGGGTGAGATGGCCAGGCTGTTAATTTGGGTCACCTTCCTGATTGGTGCAGACTGTGATACCATCTGATTAGCTGCGGTGATCAGTGGATAGCAGCGAGTGAAATGAACAGCCAGGCCCTGCCACAGGCTACTTGGGTGATCTTAGGGAGAAGGTAGGTGAGAAGGGAGGGGGGTGTGGAGGAAGTGTGCTCTAGAAGGTGTGAGGAGATGGAGGGGAGGGTCCAAATATGTGAGTGATTGTATTCAGCTATCTTCCAGACAGAGGAGAAGATAGATCTGAAATGGTAATAATCAGGTCATTCAAAGTGAAAGAACTAATTTTGGGCCCAACAACTGCATATTTTAAGTACAGTTAAACATAAATCAGAATTGGTAGAAATGAATGCCTACTTTCACTATGCGTGGCAGACATATCCTTTGGTTTACTGCTAAAATATGGACATGTAAAGTCAACCTTCATATATTCAGTGAACATTTACTACCCAGGGCCTACTCAGCAAGGCACTGGGCTGTTGCTGCTGGTGTGCAGTGGTAGCTGACATATGTAGAAAAGAGAGAACACAGCATGTGGATTTGGCCTTCAAAGCTCCTGCAGTTTAGGTAGTTCACTACTGGAAAGTACTATAAACAGAAATGCTTCCAATGATCCTAGTGAAGATATTGCACAATTTCTGATTGGCTATCTCCAATGATGGCATTCAAAAAGTCCATTTTATTACAATAGTTTTTTTGTCTTTTGTTTTTTTTTTGTTTTTACTGGGCTAAAATAATCTTTCATTTCTTCCCTTTAGAAAACCCAAAGGCCAAAAAATATATATTAAAGGCTAATATGCTAAGTGTCTGACTGTAGGACGGGTAGCTGCCTGATCCCCAAAGGCCAGGCCAAGGGACTCCACCTGTGCACGAATCCATGTACTGGGCCTCTAGTACAAAATAAAAGTCCTAATTCCTCTTCCACATAATAGTCCTTTAAAATTATTTAAGGAGCACTATCATGTCATTTTTAAGTTGTAAGTCAGAGAAGATAATGGCTTTCAGATTTGTGACATTCTGGATGAATCCAATTAATAAATGTGCCACTAAAATGTGGTGGAAGTGGGTGTACTACTTCCGTTGGAAACGCAGAGAGGAACTGCTTTCTCTGCCCTAGATACCGTATTTGCATTCATGCTTTGTCGGAAGCAAATGAACGACATATTTTTGAGATATCACCACTGACTTGTTTTAAGCTTCCTGATATCCCAGAGGTTATCAGTGCTGGCTGTCCATTAGAATTCACCTGAGATGGTTAAATTATAATAATAATAATAATACTCATCCTAGAACAATGCAGTCAGAACCACTGCCTTCACAAACATTTTACATTTGTGCTTTTAAACCTTGGTTGCACATTAGAATCATGAGCTTGCACCCAGGCCCCTGACATCAGAACTCTGTGGGTGGGACTGGGTTTGAGTAGTTTTGAAGCTTCCCAGATGATCCCAATGAGGAATCCAGGCTGAGAACCAGGGCTTTAAACCCTTTTCTGCTCAGCCACACATTTCCTCATCCCATCCTTACGCAGTTGATTTTCAGACCTAAATACAATAATCTGCATTCTCATTAAATTTCCGTTTCAATCCTTTCAACTCCTGCTTCCAGCATTCATTAGATTATCTAACCCTCTTAGCTTTGTGCTGAGCTGGAAATGTGATAAACATCCAAATCAGTATATTTTACTTTTTAACCAATGTTGCCTTATTTTATGTATAAAATTTTCTGTGCTGCGCCAGCATGGCCAAGGGTGACCCTGAGTGGGGGCAGTGAAGGATTGAGAAAAGACAGACAAGAGAATGAAAGCGGGTCGTAGTGGGACACTGTCCTCTCTGATGGAGAGCTAGGGACAGTGCCATGGACTACAAGCCGTGTATTTATTTTATAGCCAGATGCCACGAGGCAAAGTAAGGGCGTGGTCAAGATGTTTACAACATTCTTGTGGGTTTTGATCCTACACAAATACATGCACCTGAACTCTATCAAGCCCACATCACTCAGGCACATGGGGCCACGTGTTCAGACCATAGGCTCATGCTTACAACTCCAGCTGTTGGCTATAATTGTGCTGGGAGGGCTTTGCCCTCCAAGCTGGGATTGCCATGGCAATGACTGGACTGTGCCTTCTCATTAGTCCGACGCTTGAACCTGTCCTAACACTGTGGCCCCTCTCCACAAATTTACTACCTTATGTACCCTTTTATGGAAGATGTCTCTCCCCCCAGTTCCAGTTAGAAGTTTCTGAGATGAAGCAGAATTGATACTGCTTGTGCATCCCCACTGGAAGAGAGGATTTTGTAAACTTCCTTACTATTGTCTAAATCATGTACAATTTTAATTTCTTAATTACAATTATTTTATAACATTAAATAACTTTTTTCCAATATAGTACCCCAAATTGTGCCAAATATACCACACTCACATGTTAATAAGGAGAGGAACTATGTGTCAGGGATATTTGGAAATTATTATTTTTGTAACTTTTCTGTAAATCTAAAACTATTCTAAAATGCAAAGTTTATTATTATTAAAAAAAAAAACCCTCCATAAAATTCTGATGTGAACCTCTAGCCCCAGCTTCACACTCAAACCTAATTATATTTGAGAAACAGTGATACATATCAGACAAACACTAGGTCTCTGGTACATCTCTAAAGCATTTTTCCAGAAAGTGATAGTTTATAGGTTAGGTTAGCACTGAAGTTAGGCCTGGCATCAATTTCTGGCTCCTCCACTATCTAGTTTAGAGAAGGGGCCAAAATCTAAAATCCAGCCTAAATCGCGGGCCGAATGGTTTACTGAACAGTCATAAACTGTCATTGTGATGGAAACGCAGCGGAGTGCAGTGATGACAGCGCGGTGCGGGCCACATTGCAAGGCCTGGCAGGACGGATTTGGCCCGAGGGCCTTGTGTTTGACACATGTGATCTAGTTGTATGATTTGGGGTGGTTAACTAATCTTTCTGAACTTTGTTACTCAAGCATTAAAGATAACTCTTGAAAATTAAATAAGGTAATTATATAAAACAGTTAATATAGTGCCTGCTACATAGTAAAATAATGATTAATACCATCATTCCTAATGTCTCATCCTGAAATGAAAATCAAGTTAACTCTATCATCACCTAGCCCACATTTTCAGATCTTGTCCATGTGAACAGCATGGCTAGCTTTCTTGAATCACGATACAAAGACTTCTCTTCCCTCTCAGTTCGGACAATGAAAAGGACTCCAGTGATTTCTGTGTCAGACAGGTCTGAGGGAAAAAAGACTGGGTGTGGACAGAGAACCCAAGTTATAGTCCTGCCTCTCTCCTTTACCACCATGACTTGAGAATTTTATCATCTGTATAAATAATGGCAAAATAATAGCTGCTCCAGTCCCCCAAGTATCTTGGTGAAGATCACAAGAGACAACATAAGCCCATTAAGTTGCTTTGAAATATTGAAATCATCAATAGATTTAATATGGACTATGTCTAATAATCACTAGTATTTGTTAGTAACCTTTATTTTTTCCAACTAATCGTTTCTTTCTGTCCCCTCCCAACTACTCACAAAAAAATGGGCTTAGAAATGTCTTAATAGAATTTTACTGAGGATCACAGCAAGCTTATAATGCTAGAGTTAATATAATACACAATTTTCTCTTTTAAAAGAGATTTAAAATTTTGCTGAGCCCTAGTTTTACAGCACTTCCTTTTATTCCAAATAATAACTCTGGAACCTGCCATTTCTTTTGGTCAAATAAATTTATACTTTCCTTTTTTGATATATACTTTTAAAATGATCCTTTCTTTCAATAATGAGAAGCTGAATAAAAAGAGTTGATGAATTTCAACTAATTTTTTATGAGTAATAACTGTCTATGAATACAAATACCTATTTCTTAAAATTTATTTGTTTTACTTTTCATATACATAATCTGATTCATAAAATGCAACTGGGATATGTGGGAAATGCAACCTTGATCTTCACAGAACCACCAATCTTCTATTCATAATATACTGTGTATCCAAGTGAAGGCAACTGTCCAGAACTATACACAAATTTTGTGCATTTCTTCCCCATTAATTCTCAAAAGAAAAATAAAATAATTTTTGAATTTTAATATTGTGGGATTATTTTCTTTCATGAAGAAAATTCAAAATAACTTTGATAATATATGCTCCAAACAGCAAACTGTAAGGTGACATATTTTTCCTAATTGACAGAACAAGTGAACCAACTGTCAAGGCCAGCTTCTGGCTATTGCCTCTGATGGGCTTTATCCTAACCAGTGGAAACCAACTGGCAGTCAAGACCTGTAGGGCTTTTACATGCACAAGATCCCACCACAAAACCTGGAACATATTTAAAAGATAAAATATTAAGACCAACATGGGTTAAAATACTTTGCCTATATTGTCAAATGAATGAAACAATAGCGAAATATAAAGACTTACTCCTCCATTTGTCCAGAGGGTCTATTATATAGTAAATGATACCATAGGATGAAATATCACTACAGAAGGGACAGAGGATAACTCATCAATATGGAATTTACCTTTGGGAATTAAATTTCATCACATATGCCCTAACTAGTTTGGCTCAGTGGATAGAGCGTTGGCCTGCCGACTCAAGGGTCCCAGGTTCAATTCTGGCCAAGGGCATGTACCTTGGTTGCAGGCACATCCCCAGTAGGGGGTGTGCAGGAGGTAATTGATCTTTCTCTCTCATCGATGTTTCTAACTCTCTATACCTCTCCCTTCCTCTCTGTAAAAAATCAATAAAATATATATTTTAAAAAATAAAGTTCATCACATAATCACAGTGGTTTTATCAAAACTAGCAAAGTAGAATCAATCCTGTCATCAAAATCACGTCACCGGTACATAGGTATATGTAGAAACAGAAAAACACCTTAGTCACTCCTGACCTCAAATGTATTTAACACAGAGACCATGCATATCTTATGAGTTAGTGAATGTTTTATAAAATATTGACATTTAACATGAAGTCATTTGTAGTTTTTTCTTTTCCTTTGCTCTCTCCCTACCTTTTTTTATTTTCTTTTTCACCCCCAAGTGTGTTTAAATCATGAACTTTCTGTGGAAATCACCTGAACTACATTTTTGAGAATCATGTACTCCAGGCTATATAAAATATCCTAATTGCTGTATGAAAATATAGACATCATTTTGGGGTAGAATAAATATGTTTTGTACATAAGTTGCATTCCTGAAATACCTTCTTTTTTTTTTTTCAAGCTCCAAATACCTTTCTTGACAAGATAGAGCAGCAGTGTTTGGAAAGCATTAGCATGTCAACAGATGCTCAGAATCAAATGACTTAATAGGCAGAAACTATTTTTCCCCCCCAAATAATTGCAAAGCTTTGGTCTAGCTTTTTGCATACCTTGCATAGTTAATTACCTAGGCCTTAATGTTTACATGCAATGAGAGTATCTACAACTATAAGCTACATAATTTATAATTGATGTAAATGGGTGTTATTATGTCAATTAGACAGCTGTGTCCTCCACCTCTTGGTAAACAGCTCTGAGTGATAAACTGAGTTAGCAGAGAAGTAATATTTTTTTCTTCATAGCAGATAAAAATAAATTACCTAGGTAGACCAGGCTGTCCAATTGTTCTCTGGTGATGTGGATGGAAAATCCAGACCCTTGCTTTTGACCTGTTGACTGCAGCAAATGGTCAATTTCGTCGCGCAGCACCGCCATGGCTTCTGGGTGCCGTAGAAGGTAATAGATGGTCCAGAACATAGTTGGAATAGTGTTTGCCACAGAGGCCCAGAGAAAGCCTAAATGATGTGCTGGGAGAAAATAAGTGAAAAGGAAGATTAATAGCGTTTATTACACTGATTAGATTTGCAGTGTGCTAATTAAAAGATGTTAGGACACAGACCCAGCCAAGGATCAGTGCATGCTAATGAGGACCAATAGGCTTCTGAAGTCTAATTTTCTGCTTAATGAGAATAGTTTAAAATGTAATGTGTGTGGAGGGTGGGGTTGGGGGGATGGGGGAATGAGATAAGAGGAGTAAATGCAGCTTAGCTATACCTTTCTCATTATCACCATTAAATATCTTGTTTTACCACCTCAGCAAAAAAAAAAAAAAAAAAAAAAAAAAAAAAAAAAAAAAAAAAAAAATCAATTATCACAGAGGGTTGTTTCAGAGTAAAACATTTTATCATTAGCCAGTTAGAGAGAGCATAAAATTTTTCAAGGTCGCCATTTTGTCTTTTTATTTCAAAGGTCTATTGTAAATTATTCTATTTTAGACAAGTAATCATTCAGAAGTTTCTTACCTCCTATTTCAAAGTCTTTGAATGTATAGTATTTCTCCAGGATATCTTGCCTCATTTGAACAACTTCTGACCATCCTTGTATATTAGCCAAGTTTTCTGATGTCAAGTGTCTTATAAGTTTCTTTTGAATAGACTTGACATTTCCTAGAAGCTCAATGGGTATATCTGATAGTAAATATATGAACTTAGCATCAAATTTAAAAAAATCATTTTTAAGTTCAGTAATAAATTCCTTCCTATCACCAGCAGCAGATTTTCCATATATGGTTGCAAATGTGGTCTCAAATATTACTGAGCTGCAGAATGTCAACAGGTATGCCATTTCCCAATTTGTGGTTTTAAATAGTTTCGGTTCAAAAACTTGGTGTAGGTTCTGTGTCACGTTTTCCATAAGTAGGTCCAAAGATTTCCCTTGTAAAAGTTTATAGCAGTCATGAAGCTCGTCGTTCAGGTCATCATCGGTCATCAACTTTTGGATGGAAAATACTTTCTTTAATATATTTTTACTAAACATTCGAAAGCTTAATTTCTGATTCTTCATCACTAACTGGTACTGGTAAGGGTCCAGAATAAATGTTATGTACTTTCCTAAAAGAAATGAGAATATGAGCTCATTTATTAGCAAAGTAAACAGTCCCCCACTCCAAAATTTGACAATATTTTAATGAAAATTAGATGTTAGTAACTAATATCTAGGAACGTGCAAAGTTTAATAAAAATCCATTTCATTCAAAGGTCCATACCTGTTTCCTTTTAAAATGGAAAATAATGGGAAAAACTCTAGAAGCTTGAAGTTAAATATTCTGAAATCTTAACGAATTAATAAAACATAGTATAAGCCCTGGCCAGGTAGCTCAATTGGTTAGATCATTGCCCCCATACTATCAAGGTTACAGGTTTTATCCTTTGTTAGGGCACATAAAAGATTCAACCAAGAAATGCACAGATGGGTGGAACAACAAATCAATATTTCTCTTTCTCCCCCCTCCCCCTTTCCTCTCTGTAAAAATCAATTAAACATATTTAAGGTAGTGTACTCATCACATTTTTATTTTAACTAAGTACCCAAATATTTAAATTATCCTTTAAATATACTCAAAATCCCTTGACTTAAACATTTCTCATATTTTGTCTCCAATAACATAAACAAATAACAAAAGTATCCAATTGGTAAGATGACATTCCACTATTGATTTTTTTAAATTTATACAGAAGAGCTTTTTCATAGTTGGTATCATCTTAGCTTTGGCTGGATACAATAATTATTTTTTAAATATATTTTATTGATTTTTTTACAGAGAGCAAGGGAGAGGGATAGAGAGTTAAAAACAATGATGAGAGAGAAACATCCAATCAGCTGCCTCCTGCACACCCTCTACTAGGGATGTGCCCAAAACCAAGGTACATGCCCTTGACCGGAATCAAACCCAGGACCCTTGAGTCTGCAGGCCGACATTCTATCCACTGAGCCAAACCAGTGAGGGCTGGATACAATAATTTTCACTCAAATAAATGAAGATGTGGTATGAAGTAGGTACTCATAGATGAATTCCTAATTCAACACTAACAACAAAATCACAACAGGCCAGTATGTTCATTTGTATAGATGAGAAAATAGTGGCTCACAAAGATTTAGTAACAATGTCAAGGTCACATACTGAAACAGAATGTCAAATTAGAATTAATTAATTCATTAACTCATTTATTCATATTTATTCAATAAATCCAGACATTTGGTTAGATCTTGTTCCTCTTGAGGTATAAAGTTGAAAAGAAATCATTGTATTAGTGTATGGATAGTGATATAGCAGATGTGTGAGGCAAAAAGTGGAATCTGCTTCAGTCTGCTTTCAGAAGTTATTAGAAATGGTTGAGGTGGTGACATGTGGTCTTTTCATACATTAGTGTTGTCCAACCTTACTAATTAAAATATTTAAGGTTCTGGTCAAATATACAATTCCTTCCTGATTCTGATTCATGAAGCTTGGAGTACCTAATACTGGTTTAACACATGAAGTTTAGATGCTCCTATTTATTGTCTGCTAGAAAAACAATAAATACTTAGACCTTGCAGAATGGATGATCATCTACACTTTCCTCTTAAACTTAACATTCCTGTGTGTGTGCAGGTATGGTTGTGTAGCTTTCTGAGATAAGTGACTTCTCATTTACTACTTATGGTAACTCCAACAGCATCACAGAACTTAAATTTAATTTGGTAAAGTTTAAGATAAAGTTTTGAATAATTTTCATCCTAATCCTGGTAAAGGCTTGGGAGCAGAGAGGGGAGAAGAGGGCAATGGGGGGAAAAAAAAAGGGACATATGTAATACTTTCAGCAATAATGACATATTAAAAAATAATCATTTATCTCAATGTTAAGTATATTATCTGGAATGCATTTTTAAAAAGATAAATGTTGTATAATTTTATAGCATCATTCAAGTTTTTTATATACATGGAGATACATGTGCTATTATTTTTTTCTAAAAATGAATCATATCACTTAAATTTATTCACTTTATTTCCTCCTGATTTACATCATAAGGAGGGGCCAATATAAGAATGAGAGTAAGCTAGAAATGACTACTCATTCTTGTCAGATCCCAAAGCTACATCTACAAAATCCACTCAATTGTTTTTCTTGCTGAGGACAGGAAAAAGGACTCAACTGGATTTGGGCATATTTTATTATACCTGCCTTCTACCATAGCAGCTTAATTAAGTAAACTTGCCAGCATCTGCCTGATGAATAATTGAAGAAAAAAATCAATTCTCTTATTTTACAGAAGACATAATTTCAGGCAAAGCTGTGTATTTTCACAGGTGGAGATTCATACTTTTCTCCTTTTACTAAATGAAATAATTTTACTAAATATCTTTAGGGTTATTTTAAATTTGTCACTAAAGTTCAGAGAATGTATGAAAGATTCAGTTTGTGATACACATAATTATCAGAGTATATTTTGAAATTTTTTTCTATAAATTTTCCACAATCATCAAAATCTAAGTGGAAAGACAAAACTCTATTCATCTATGAGAGCATGAGCTACTGGCTGCTGGCCTCCTGAAGTACAGGCCGAATGCCCAGTAGAGTTTTTGTCTATAATTTATCACAAACACATATTTACCCCCTCTCTTTTTCTTTCTCTATCTCTCTTTGGGGGTGAGGAGATGGGGATAAACTGTAACATTAATTTTAAATAAAATGAATAATGGCTAAACATGTAAAAAGCATTCTGGTTAACATTCAATTATTATTTTTTAAATTAAGGAGTTGTTAAATATAGCCTCTCTGATGTAAAAATCATTACTGATCAGTTTAAAGCAATTTATAGATAAAATTCTCACTGTTTTCAAGACTCTTTACATTCTAGAATCTGTATTTTCTCTCATTCTTATTTTAATTTTCTTCCATATCAAGGCATTGTGTTTTATCTATCTCTCTGAGTAAGATGTGGATTTCTTTAAAAGTGGATGTTTTGATTTTCTGGATTTTACTCTTCAACTGGGTTTAGAATTACTAGTAACCCTTGAGATGTTAGCTGGCTTTCCAACTTTTAATCTTCAGTATAAACAATTTAAGCTAAGTTTTCCAAAATTAATATTAATTTAAACCATCTGTCCACCATCTGCTAATGTGAGATGCAAAACCAGAGTTTCTTTGTAATCTTTAATCAGGCAGTTAGGAAAACACATATACATTCATAAAATAAATTTAAATTTCTTAACAAAGGGAACTTGAAAAGTTATTTTGAAGGCCATGGATTCTTGGAGCAAAATTAACTTTCCCTCCAGTGTAATTTTATGTAAATGAATACCAAGTGTCAACAAGCAAGTTGCCTAGTTCACAAAGATCACAAGGCAGAAACAATATCTTTTGCCATGTTTTCCAAAAAGAGAAGAACGGTGTGTAAATATCAATGTCAAAATGAGGCTCACTTTTACAATATATATCATATACATATAATACGCATATACTAATACACATGAGATATATTTGAAATAAGGTAAAAAATTTTTTTGAATGTTTTCTTTATGACAATTTCATCATCTTCCCTTTTTAGGAGCTGACTGCGCCTCACTTCCTTCAAATTTAGTTATTTCAGGAAGATGAAACTACATGATGCAAAGCATGTCAGCAAATGCCGAAAAACAAATAAGGTCACTCACACTGATATCTTATACACACAGGAAGTTTGACATCTGGATCATCATAAACTGAATTTTGATGTTTTATTTCAGATATTTGGTGCTTTACAGAGACACATCCATGGGAATTCAGGACAATTACTGAAGTATTTGAAATAGAAATGCTCAGTCAACAAAGCTGACCTTAAAATCTGAATTTTTAAAAGTTTTCCATAATTACAAGCTTTTAATTTCTGTGTTTAGCTTGTCCTTCAATAGATTTTCTAAAAAATCTTAAGTTGAAAATACTAGTTGGAGGAGTGGGATAGAAACCAAATTTTTATTGTATGAGGCTGACCGCATTACATACTCCCCCCCCCCCACCCCCCCTTATTAGAGAGATTCCCCTGGCTGTTGACAATGACGTACAGGGCTGTTTCAGTGGGGTGACATCTAGGGAAAATGATTCTGCTGCACCACCACACAAAACCAATTAGAGAACTATTTTCTGCGACAGGCCACAAATTTACGTGGTTTCTCATGAAAAGATGTACCTTTTAATTTCTTTATTAAGATGACATTCATGTCCCTTGAGACTTTTTGGGATGACAATCATTTGCTCATCATACAAGAACATTACTCACTGAACTCACATTATGGGACAACTGTGGAAGACTGATCCTCCTTTCACATTTTCCAAATGAGCTATTCGGCAAAATGATTATTAAAATCATATACATGAATAGGATATGTTGGCAGGAATTTATTCAAACCCTAGTAGGAAGGCAAAGAGAAATAGCAGTACATATTCAACTATGGCTGTCTACTGTTGAGTTAAAAAACATAACCATGGTCAAATGACTTAGATGGTAGAAATTCAGCAAGTTTCTCAGGATCTAAAACTAAGATACCAAGTGTCAGCAGAAATCGGTTCCTTTGTGAAAAGTGAATACAATTATTCAAACCTGCCACAAATTTCTGCTTAATTATCTGAGGTTATTTCTGTATAACTCACTTAAAAAAGAAAAGTAAAAATTTCAATGATGTGTTGTATCTACTCATTAGAACACAAAATTGAATTTTTTTTTAAAGTGAAGAATATAGTTTTGTATTATGAAGCCAAAAGCTCACTTAGAGTAAAAGAACCAGCTATGGCCTTTAATTGTATTCTGGTAAGTATTTCATCAGCTCTGAGGTATTGGGAAATTCCTCATCAATTGTTTATTGTGAATCAATCCATGGTGAGCTCTGGATTAAAAGTTGGCAATGAAGAAGCTAGAGAATAATGAAAGCAAACAGACAACTGAATTGGCGATACATTCACATTTATTAAAAGTTATGAGAGAAGTGATAGGGGAGTAACTGGAGACTGGGGAAGAAGCATCAACAAAACATGGAAAGGGGCAATGGCCAGTAAAGGCTTTGGGGAGGAAATGATATAAGGGCATGGTGTCGGAAGAGGAAATCTCAAAACCACTTGGGGCTTTGGTGGTACATTAAGCACAAGGCAAGGAGTAGCAAGAGATGAGGCTGGAGAGGGAGGTGGATCCCAGACTTTGGGAACCTTTGTAAGGATTATGTTTATATTGTATAACTCCTCTTTTTCTAAGATGCATGATTTTTTTTTTCATTTCAATTTTTCTGAAATCAGAGTGCATACAATTACTTTTGGAAGAGACTCGCCAGCTGCCAGGTAAAGGAGGCAGTTGTGTTGAAATGGATACTGCCTGCTGGCTCCTGTGAGAACTCAACCATGCTGACAATTTCATCCAGTTGGGCCATTTTTCCTCCCAGTTGCATTGAAATGGTAGCAATGAAGTAAAGTTGCTCTATGTACAAAAGATTGCTTCTGATACTCAGCTAAGTAATTACAGTAAGAAAAAATGACCTAAATAGAGCATACAGTATAGGTAAAATCTGGATGCTAAAAAGAAAAAAAAAGAAAAGTAAATAGAGAACATAGGAGAAACTTAATGAAGTATGGTTATAAGCTAAGGATGAGGACCCAAGAGAGAAAAAAATGAAGTCATGTGTATGAGAGTAATAAATAATGACATGCCAGCCCAGAGAGAGCAGGAAGTGAGAGTCATGAAGACAAGGGCCTGAATTGTCTTGAACATTCTTTGAAACTGGAGAGAAGGTGTTAAGAACAACTGAGAGACATGGTACATTTTGTAGGCATGTGGAGATCCCGAGTGAGGTCAGACCTGATGTGTTTAGGAAGGAGAGCGAACTGTGTACCAGAGCCAAATGAGAGATGGAGCACACCTGCCTTCTCACTAGCACACCCAACCAGCAGTCAGAGGGCAAAGGGGTGTGGAGAATTTAGGCTGTAGAGCTCAGCCTTCCGAAGCATAGATAGGACAGACAGAAGTCCGCAAACGGAATAGCTAGCCCAGGTGATAAGCTGATGTGGAAGACTGTGCAAAGATGGCCACAATAAATTCCTGCTAACTCTCTACATGTCCTCTTTTGCAACGTGACAGCAGAGGGAGCGGTGGAGTTTCATTCCCTACCTATGAGTCTGGGTTGATCTGTGACTTGAGCTGACTGATGGAATGTGGTGGAAGTGAGGTTAGACAACATCACGAGGCCTTGCAACATTTCCTCGTACCCTCTGGAAACACTAGCTGACTTGTAGTAAGGATGTCCACTTGAGGATGTAACAGCATGTGGACAAAGAGGTCCAGGCAGGCACATAAATAAAGCCAGCATGGACCATCTAGCCCCGATCAAGCAGCCACAACTCAAGTCACACTAGTGACTCCAGCAAGGCTGCTATATGGCATTAAATCTGTGAGGGGGGTTGTTATGCAGCAATAGATATCCATGCATCTGAACTGCAGGAGGATTCACTAATATTCTAGCTTCTCTTCTTAGCCCTATGAGATTGGGGTAAATAGTATTCTTGCTGTGCTTTTTGGTCTATTGTTTTGTAAGTACTTTATTAAAGTAGAAGGATAATGAACCTTTTCAAGTTAAAAATACATTCTAGATCAGTGGTTGCTAGGGGGACAGGGAGGGGAAGAGGAATGAATAAATGGAATATGCGGGAATTTTAGGGCAGTGAAAATTATTCTGTGTGATACCGTAATGGTGGATACATGACATTATGCATTTGTCAAAGTTCAAAGGACTTGTACATCACAAAGAGTGAACCCTAATGTAAACCAGGGATGTTAATAATGTATCAACACTGACTCATCTGTAAGAAATGCTGATATAAAATGTTAATAATATTGGGATGGGGGGATGGGGGCGGCCTAGAAAGGGTCAATGGGGGAAAGGGGGACATATATAATACTTGCAACAATAAAGATTTTTTTAAATTAAAAAGTTTAATATCTTAAAAAATAAAGTGGAATTATATTGTAAAAAGTATTTTAATAATAGGGGAAACTATGATGAAGGTAAAAAGGAATATGAGAATTGTACTATCTGATCAATTTTCTGTAAACCTAAAACTGGTAACAAAATAAAGTCTATTAATATATTGTAGCTTTTTAAAAACATGTATTTTTATTGTTGATAGTATTACAGATATTTCCAAACCTCCCCTATTATCCTCCACTTCCAGCCCTTACCCACCCACTCAGTTCTTCACTATCCTATTGCTTGTGTCAATAGGCTATGCATATACATTGTAGCTTTTTAAAAACCATTTTTAAGACCAAGCCAAACCAAACTATAATGACAGGTGATGGCAGGCGAGTGGGGTTCCCTAGGTACCCTCAAGAGCGTTCTATAATTTTTTTTTTTTAATGTGAGAATCACTATACTCAAGAACATAGTTTCCTTTTGTATTAGCTCTACAAATTAAACAATACTGTACATAATTTGCTTAGAGAAAAATATAAGGACATTAAAGAATAGGGGAGAATTTATGATATATGAAGTGCTGTTTACCTCCAAGGAGAAGAGTGAACGTGTCACCATGTTGATTTTGAAGAGTTCTCATGAAACCGATGGGATCTTTTTGTAATTTCAGAGCCAGTCCAAAGTAAGGAAGCCAGCCTTTTAGCAATGGAGGCTCACCAGGTCTCCTGTAAGAAAAAAAGGAAGTTATATTAAATCATTCTTATTTTAATACATGTGTGTTATCAATGCAGTCTAGAAGTGGATTGAATGAACTGCACAGATTGTTTTCATTTTTTTTTAAATTTAGTGATACCCATATAATCATAGACATATACTTATTGAGCCTCTAGTATATGTGGCTCTGGGGCAGACTGTTCAATTCAGTTTTAATAAGCAACTTTTTCAAGAAATTGTGTGTGTAAGGCCCAAATGGCTGGCTGAAACAGGTACATATAGTACACACATCTTGTTCCGAGAGCTCTTGCTGAGTCTGGGTGATAGATGCCAGGTATTTTAGTAATCAAAGTAAAGCTCTTTGTTATCAGATCTCGATTACACTGGAATTAGGTAATTACAAAAGGTGCAATTAATAATCTTGAAAAATGTTTTATGCTGTGAAGAACAATAAAAACCTGAATATCATTCCCACAAAGTATATTCTGTTACATTCTTGTATGAACATTTTTATTTAAACTACAGTGAATGGAAATATTTACATTTTTAAGAGGACTTTTTAAAACATAAAGTATGTTCAATGAAACATTGAAATACTTGACTTACAATTCTACCAAAACTGGAATTCAAAATTTCTTCCTAGTCATTTAGTTGGGGAACTCAATCTGATTTAAAGTAAAAATAAAAATATTCAAAGCCATTTTATCCTGAAAGAGATTAAAACAGATATTCAAGAAAACACGGGTGATTCTTTGCTCCATCTGTGAAGTGACATACTACATGAAGTGCAAACCATTTTGATTAATCACAAGATATTACTAGCTCAGATCTAATCAAAGATCAAGATTATGATCACATGCAACATAGACTTTTATGTTGCTAGATTAACCCTATCAGAACCTCTTATCTTCTCACAATCCAAGATGGTAGAATTAAAAAAAAACAAAAAAACAAAACACAAACATCAGGGGAAACTATACTAAAAAATAATAAAATACAATAAAAAAAAATACAGAGTGTGATAGAAATCAAGGAACTAGGTTTTCTGTTTTTTAGAAGACAATTTTTCTCTACAAAAATGTACAAAATGTATGCTGCTATTTAAGTACATATACCTAGAAATAGAAAGACAGGAAACATTGCATAGAAATGAATCTTCTTCTTCACCCCTTTCCTCATTGTTTTCTGGAATGCAACCCCTAGCAATGGAGACTTGGTTTTTTTTTTGAGACATATAAAAGTGTACCAAGAAAATATAATAGCAGCTACTTTTATATCCTAAGATTTAACAAGAAGAACTTGCACATAGATTGTAGAGCAGGATCCCCAAGCTGGCAACTGCCGCGGTGTACAGGCTGTCAACAATGACCCTTTCAAAATTAGCAGGTGAACTGGTTCACAAAATTTCCTTTCACGATATTAACTCTCTCCCTTGGCCTACTTTTACTCTGTCTTGTTTACTATTGTGGGAATGTTGCATCGGAACAAAGATTTTTGAAGGCGTTTTGTCATATTCTAATGCAATGCAACTAATTTCATCCTCTATGTTCTTTTGTTCAGTCAAACATTCTGCATGGGGTTTCCACTGGGGGAAAGGATGGAGCTCAGTGATCCAGGGGGTTAGTAACTTAATGTCCAAGGTCAGGGAAACACATGAGGAGGCCATTTTATTGTGATCAAGATGAGAGGCTCATCATTCTTTACAGCTGTGTTTATTTTGGCAGCAATAGCTTAAAACTATTAAACACTATGTCACAACTTTGCATATTTCCCAGAAAAAAATATAGTGCCTGCTCAACTTATGACCCAGTGAAGACAGATAACAGAAATCTGTCTTCATCAGTATATTCATAAAAAGAATTATTTAGGGGAGAAGCTATCACCGTAATGATCCAGAAAGTCCTACTTGCACCTGGCACGCTACAAATACTGCGATTTATCTCTCCCATGCTCTGAGACTTTGACAATGAAATACCCACTGCCCACTGCTGAGCTGAGGGGAGAGGATTCCTAATGCTTTTTGGGAAATATCAAGCTCTGAAGCTTGAAATGGGTAGACCCGGAAGCAATGATGGGTAACAAAAACAACAAACAAACAAACAAACAACATGGCCCATATCCCCTCTTAATCCCACCCAAACAATATATACTCTCTCATATATCCTCTTTACTCTTTAAGAAACTATGAGGACACAACTCAGAAAGTGTACAAATGAGAGCTTACAAAGCTTCTCAATGATAAAACCCAAGTTCTGTGCCGAAACCATTGCATCACTGCTCACAATTTCTTCCATACAAGTTGTGGGACCAATCTTGAAGTTTAATTGAAGTGTCAATATGGCCCAGATTTATATAGAAGCAAATAGTGCAGAATAATCCAAGAATATAAAATGTGTACATAAATTATAATAGAACAAACATCTATGACTCTTTTTTTTATTATTAAAAAGAAGCATCTAAAACTGAAAAGAGTGAATCAAAAAATAGTTGGTTTCTAATAACATTTGAAGTTGGTTATCTGTCTTTAAGCTACCTGTATGGTTAAATACATATCTAAAAATTTTGGCTAATGACCTATCATACATTGTTCCCATTGACATTTAGAGCCCAGCACTTTCCACAGCAATCTATATTCTGTATTTGTAAACATAATTCCTTCTTTTCCATTTTTTTTCTGTGAGCATTCTAGACTAGAAGTCCAGGTTATTGTAACAACCTCCTAAGTAAGTGGTGAGCAACCTTTACCCATGTACAGCAGTTCAGAAAAAAAAAAAAAAATAGAAGTATGTGCTGATGAAAAGTTTCTCAAAGATGTAATCTATTTGTATCAGGACACCTTATGTCTGTGATAGTGGTTAGTAAGTTTTAAAATAATATTCCTGATTAGTGAAGACTTTTGTGTGCATGCAGTCAAGATTTCAGAAACTACACAGCTGGTGTGAATGGTAGTATTTGGTTATAATAGTGACCTTTTGAATAAACTGTTGTTGAGCAAGGGACTTTTGATGTTGGTCTTCTTCCCTTTTCCTTGAATTACTTTGGAAGCCACTTATTTGGAAAATGGAATTCGCCTCACAGTGCCTCTTAGAACTGTGTTCTTGAAATGTTCTCTATTTCTCCACTCTTCCTTGGCTCCAATGTGAGCATGAGGATAGCTAAAAGGTTCCCACAACTCTTGACAACTGCGAACTAACACGCTCTTTAGGACACTGGGAAGAGGGGACATCTTTGCCAGGCTATGAGTGAAAGATCCTGGAAGAGGAAGAGTGGGTGGAGGGTCTGGTACATTACGCTGCCAGCACCCTCAGTGAGATCCTATTTGGGACCAAGGAAGCAGAGAACCACATGCATTACTTTGCTGGGAAACCAGAAGGGAGGTACAGCCAACTGGGGGCACTGCAGTCATGGCTGCAAAGGTGGAGGATCACGTGGAAAGCCAGGGGGTACTCTGGGACAACAAAGACACCTAACCCGAACATCTGCACAACAGGATTCGCCAGATCAACAGAAAGGAAGGGGAAGGGAGAATCCTAAATCTCATTTAATATTTATGAAAAAAGAGACTAGGTTTTAAACTAGAAGTGATTGAGCGAACTTTTCACTGAAAATATTCAGTGGCTGAAACCGGTTTGGCGCAGTGGATAGAGCTTCAACCTGCAGACTGAAGGGTCCTGGGTTCGATTCCGGTCAAGGGCATGTACCTTGGTTGCGGGCACATCCCCAGTAGGCAGCTGATCGCGGTTTCTCTCTCATTGATGTTTCTAACTTTCTATCCCTCTTCCTTCTTCTCTGTAAAAATAAAATCAATTAAAAAAATATATATAAAGAAAATATTCAGTGTATTCTGCCATGAGCAGATATAGGGGCTCATGAGAAATTTGAAGTTAGTTATAGAGAAAGAAAGTCCCATTTCTGCACACCGGACTCTTACTGGGAAATTTTAAGTCCAATTCCCTAGATATGTAGACCTTCAGTTTCATCTGAAAATGGGAATCATTCTCTATACTGCAAGAGGCTTACCGTTTGGCATAGATTATTTGAAAGTAGCTGGTACACGGAACAGGATTAGTTTCCCCGGTTATTCATACATTGTAGGCAATTGCACCTCAGTGGTTTTGCCCGCCCATTCTCTGCCTGAATCGGTTTCATTGGCCAACCCTCCCTGCACTTTTCTACCTTTGATAGAGTTGCTCAGATGAGAGAGAAGCACCTCTCCATCCTTTGAATTATTGGCTGCGTGAAGGTAAGTGCCCAGATACATATGAATGCAATAACTTTACTGAAGATACTGGTAAAAATAAAGGCTTACAGGGAGCCACTTCGAATCCAAGGACCCTGGTGGACTGAGCTGATGGTTTCCATGGGCTCCATCAGTGAGGAGGGGTGGGGAGAAGCGATGACATGAGTCAAGATTATCTTCCCAGGGTCCTTACCTCAGACCGAGACAGCAGGGGGTGCTGTGTGACACAGAGTCCGTCAATATTTACTTTCCAGAGCAACTTGGTCACAGTATTCTTTTAAATGAATAAGTGGTTAAATAACCACAGACTCATACCATATTTCCATGTTCCTTAAAAATAATGTGAATATAAATGCAAAGAGAAATGCCTCGTATGTTTTACTATAGAATGGATGTTACTTCTGGGTGGCGAGATGCTGGTATCTTCTAATTTGCCCAGCATGAACATAGCGCCTTTGCAGAATGCTTTGCGTTTATTTTGTAGAAGGCACTTCAATGTGGGCTGTTTGGTGGTTTCTCGTGATTAGATTGCGGTTGTAACGTTTTGGGAAACAATCCCACAGAAGTGACACGCCCTTCTTCTCAGCGCATCGTTGTTTTTGAAATTTCAAGAAAACGCTATTTTCGTGCTAAAATGAAAGCCACGTACAGAAGGCGCTGCCTTCTAAAAAGTAGAGGATGGCAAAAAATACACTCTACACGTGAATCAAAGGCTGGTTCTAAAAATGAGCGCAACAGTCTCCACGGCGGAGCGTGGAGAAACCACCTGGG